CTAATATTCACAAATAGGATTGATCTAAGCATGTAATATATACTATAAATATTCATGTTCAGACCTATTTCACTTTTAACAGTTTGATAAAGCTATTATCAGCATTAGTATAAAAAATAACAATATCATTTTGTTTTTCATTCATTGGGAAATCCTTTGATTATAATAATATATAATCATTCATATCTGATCTATGAATATATATTTTTAAGGTCAATAAATGATGAGATTTTAAATAATAAGTGAATGCTTGTAAGCGCCACTAAAGTACCAATGGATGGACTTTAATGCTAACTAGGTCAACAAGCACCTAATTTACGGCCAGTCCTAGTAGGTAGAAATCTCACACTATATATCTTTTAGTCTGCAAATATATATGTATAAATATATATTTGACCTTCACATTATTGATTGATTCACATTTCGTCTCCCTTCTTTATAACCTATATGACCTTGGCTATTAATAGTGAACTGGGCTAAGTGGAGTTAAAAGTCAGTCTGAGCAAAGTGCATTTTTCTCACCACAATCTCCTCTACAGAGTCTTACAGTTATAATAACATATAATGTTTGTTGTTATCGTGACTATAATAATAGCCGGTTATGCGGTGGATATACATGTTTATGTAGAATGAATAACAGATTAGCTGTAGGTTGACAAAATAAATTGTGTGACAAACGTGCTAGGCCGAATTCAATTACAAAATATTGTGAGATGAGAGACTATGGTGGTGATTATTTATTTTTTTTTATTTTTTATTTACAGCTTGATTCCACACCGAATTTTCAGTACAAGTGTGGAATTTTCAGCATGGATATCGGTAGCCCAAATTCAGGCCGACCATAGATATCTGGTGTGCGCCGGCAGGGGATCGAACCCCAGACCATGTGCATGGTCGGCGAGAGTCCTAACCACTGTGCCACCGACGCATATTGATTCATACAATGTAGGGAAGGCAAATTGACGAGCCAGCTCAAGGTTGTAAAAGTGTCAGGTTAGTGGCTAGCAAAAAAAGGATGAGATAGTAGGATTGTGATGAGAAGTTCATCATGAAATAACCAATATGTGGAATAAAACAAATGGAGGCATACATTGAGAACAGAGATAGTGTCATTAATAATAAGTCCGGATAGTATGAATTCGATGGTATTGAAAGAAGGTTGAAATGAACAGCGTAAATTTATAATCATCAAAAGGATAAAAAGGAGTAAGGGGAAGAGAGTCAGCCTTGGAGAGGAGAAGAAAATTTAACGCAAGTGTAGGCGAACTATGCGTGATTATGACTTCGGAATATGGTATATATAACTCCAAATGTCAGACTGTTAATTTCAGTTTCCAATGTAAAAGAAAGCTCAATGAAGCTGTTGGTTCCTATGACCCTTGCAAAATTGATGATACTGATATAGAAATCAAGTCTGAAGTTAAGTACCTTGGATTAATTCTTTCTTCTGACCAATGCTGGTCTTCCCGTGTCTTAGCGATTTCTAAAAGAAAATTTCGTCTGACTTTTTACATAAAGAAATTAAAGTACTCAGGCATAACTCAACCCCTCCTCTTACAGTTTGTCAAATCGTACATCTTACCTATTCTTCTGTACTGTTCACCTCTGCTTATTCTTTCCCGGATTGCTTAAAAAAAGATTATGTCATACTTCGTAGAACTCTGAAGACTGTCAGTAGGGCGAGTAGTGATATCCTATCCCATTGGGCCATATCGTTGAAATTGTCACAGATAGGCACTTGATGTCAAGCAGCAAATTTGCTAAAGGAATTTTGTCATACTGTGAGCATCCACCGCGGCACCCGCTGCTCCAACCTTGTTTCTCCTCAGGTAAAACAAGAAGTCTTTTCAGAAGACTTTATGCACGTACATCCAAGTATAAAAATTCCACTATACCATATTTGGTGGCACGTACTTTATGTGATGAAAATAGTGTTAGGCATGAACTAACTAACCTTTTTTGCACTACTAAATAAACCATTTTCCTCCATCCGTACAACATCAAGCTTTATTGTTATTGTACTTCTTATATTTATAGTCCTCTCAATTTTTTCCCTCATAAGTGTGAACATCATTTAAGCTGTGTTATAACTGTTAATTTTTATCTTTCCCTCACCATGCTGCTATGTCAACAGAACATTAGATTCAATAATCAAACTGAATCGACAATACTGTTTGAAACAAACTCGCTGTTATTATTATCATTATTCTCATTTTGTAATTCGAACATTTTGACTTTATACCGTAAATGTGGACAAATCCCTCTGGTAAATTTTTGCGCTAGCCTCAAATCCAACCTTCTTTCTTTACCCATCTTACTACCGCCGTCTCAATGAGGCTTAAGAGTACGTCGGCCGAGACACTGAACCCCTGACCACTTGCATGGTTGACGAGCAGTCTACCGGCTGAATCACTGACCACACCATTTATTTTTTTGATAGTGCAGGTACATCTTGCTGGAAAATGCCAAAAAGTTCAGATTTCATCATTTTAAAAAACAAACCATCCGCTCATCAAAAAGCTGTAAGCACACTCTTTGCCCAAGTGGATTCATCACGCATATCATGACTCACTGCTCATTATTCATTTTTTTTTCTGTATACCCTTTTCTTTGTAATGATTGATTTCGTGTTGTTTTTATTTTATAGTATCGAGATAGAAAAACGCTTTGTGTTTTCACTTCTAAACTGAATATTAATTTTTCTTCTCACACTCTAAAACCTGTTTCGTCTCTGCATTTCATACAGACATCAGTACAGGCTTCGCGTTGAACACACTAGGTTTCTGCCTGACCCATATGCATACATTATATATTATTATGATTTTCTTTCATTTAGATTTTCTACCCTTCATAAAATCGATGTAAAATAATAAATAAGTTGCTAGATAACCGGTTTGACTAACAATCAAGACTCTATTTTCTCTCTCTCTCTCTCTCTCTCTCTCTCTTCCTACCCAAGGTAAACACATGGATTAGCCTTCAATTGAAAGACACCACTGTGGTAAATATCCTAGATGTAAATGGCTAGCGTGTTTTCAGATCTCCTCTTCCAGGGAAAATCTGGCAGATGTGTGCAGGTTTTATCAAATGGTTGTTCAACTTGTCCAGCTTTCTTTTTCTTTTCTTTTCTTTTTTTCAATGAGAGGAATCATCTGATCGATTGAAAACAAAATAGCACTAGACATATGTTGTTTAATAGAACTCGTCCAACAATTGGCGCTCCCACAGTGATATGTATATATATATATATATATATTTGAAAATCGTCGTTTGTTGTAGTTGAGCTGAACAACAATATTGGACAGACTTTTCTTCTAACAGTTGCCTAGTTGACTCTAATGCCAATAAAAGCCAATGGACTTGTCACACACTTCAAGATAGATATATATATAAATATCCTTCCTCAGCATGGGGGCATTTTCGCGTTGTTGTCAAATCGGCCAATTGGTATAGATAACAAAACCAGGTGTAGATTGTTGGATTTGATAAGTGTATAAAATTATAAAAGCAGAATGCATCTACCTAATGAAATTGCTTATCGCATTCGTGTTGGTTTTGTCATTTCATGGAGTGAGGCAGGTGGGTGTTGTTCTGTTTTAGTCCACCATTCCTATTCAGACGATTTGGATTCCACTTGATGTGAACTGTTTCTGATGATATGAGACGTTTGATTGGACACTAGTAACTAGTGCGATGTGTCTAGTCCTTACTTCGGTGAGACTGAATTCTATCAGTCAGGTCCTACCGATTGCCTCCAACCATCTAATATCATCAAATCAATGTGTGCACCGTGATGACAAGCTACCTAGAATGGTGGCCACATTGCAAACCTGACTGATCGAATTCAGTCTGCACCGAAGTAAGGACTAGACACATCGCAGTAGTTACTAGTCTCCAATCAAATTATCCACTGCAGTCAGTCCCACAGAAGGTCGATCGGGAGCCTAAATAGCTCAGTGGTAACATCTCTGACTGCAGCACTGAGTGACGCAGGTTCGAATGTCAGAAGGGACATGAGTTCCTTTAAAGTTGCAGATACGCCTTGGTGACTGGTGAGTGGCAACTAGCACGAAACCTAGGTCCAAGGCTTCCTACCGATATGATATGAGACGTTCTTTGTGATTTCTGAAATTTTTTTGGGTGATGATTGCAATAATGTCAAAATCATTTTTGTGACCTGATTCTATAGCGTGTAGACAGGCTATGGCTGATGATTTTTCAAGCTTTTCCAGTTCAACTGGATTTCTCGGTGGTCGAACACATATGGCTCCACGGTGTTCATTTCTTCTGATTTTGATTTTTCTCTAGCGATGTTTGTCCTATGTATATCGCATCATATTCTAAGTATTTTATTTTATAGACACAATTAGATAGAGAATCTTTAGGGATTTGGTCTTTTATATGGACAAGATTGTTTCGCAGTGTGTCTGATGTTTTGAAAAAAAACCTCTGGCGTCGAGCTTATTGAGTACTCTTCTGATATTGTCTGACGTCTCTGCTCTATATGGAATGACAACTGTTGAGGTTCATGTTTTCGGAACACGTTTTCGAGCATACTTAATGTTAGTGTTGATTTTGTTGTTTGGCTTATCTAAATTCGAAAATTAAATCCGATTCATAGCCTTTTTTTGGTTATTATTATTATTATTTTTTCATTATTCCTATACACACTTTCTGTTAGCTTCATTTTGACTGCACTAGGAAATTGGTACAAAGAATATTTCATCTCTCTCTCTGTTGTCTAGACATTTTACTCCTATCCTCAAGGCCAAACGTTCAAATAACCTCAAGCCTACCCACTACATAGTCTACTTCGCTTAGGTCAATCAGATAATGTCAATGAACACACTATAACATACATAACAGTCCAAGCACATAAAAAGTAAACATATACAAAGCTTTATTCATCACACCATTCATTAATCGATTGCATTTCCTTATTGTGGTCTTTTGTTCATTTTCTTTTCCGCTTTCGTTTTTTTTCTCTCTCTTTCTGTTAGATATGAATATCGTGTTGAAATGGTTCATCAGTTGTCCCGTGATCCTAGTCGTAATATTGTGCGTGAATTCGCTTCACACTTTGAAGTCGGTGAATGTTGGGGCTATAATCGATTCTTTCGTTTGGATCTGTTAATTAGTGAAGGTTATTTGAACAGTGAAACAGACTCACTTGTATTAAAATTTCAGGTAGCTATTATACTTTCAAATTGGTGTTGTTTTTCCTCTTAACAAGGTGTGTGTGTGTGCGTGTGTAAACTTGACTGCCATCATAAGTGATCCCCTCATACCGTGAATTGCCTTTAAGAAATAATTGATTACTGTTTGAATATGTTTAGAGGAATATTCATTTCCAAACGCAAACCAACCCAGAAGCGACGTCGCGTCAGAGGCCTTACGCAGAATTCTCAATGATGCTGGAATTAAGGTGGTGGTATTTAAACCAACCAATCAACTAGCCAACCAACTCTCTCAGAAATAAACTTTGTCGGCTTGAGGACACTCCCGATATGTGTAATTAGGAAAAATAATATAATTTACCAAATACCATATAATGCTGACTGTTAGTGAGGTCAATTACATAGGTCAAACTAGTACATCAGGGTCAACTAGTTGATTGGAATGCGAAAATCCAGCTACGCCTAGAATGATTGACCCTGCTAAGTTAAATAACCTAGAAAAAAGCTCAGCTATTGCACTGCATGTAATCACACAATAGAATAGGTAGGATAAGGTGGAAGTATTAAAAATTAATATAGTTAAGTGGAGAGACAGGGAGGTTAGTAGCTGAAGCTTTGTTTATCGATTCAACACCGCACACGTCCTATCGGAATGACGCAACACCCATCCTGGAGATATGGGAGGTAGCAACAAACAACCAGGGGAAGATGGAGAGAGAGAAAGAGAACATATATGAGAAAAATTGTAAAAACTTGTGACTAAATTGACATGATTATGAGCAATAAATTGTGCTCGAAACCTTGTCATCCAGTTGTTAATACTGCATCTCGCTGAGTGATATTTACCATAATATGGAGTTACATTCTACCACAGTGCCCAAGTTCTACACTTACACGAACCAAAACTGTCCTTTATTATGTTAGTGTTTACAACTAACTGATCGATATGAATAGCTGAACACCACTCGCATCAACCAGCAGTCATTGATTACTAGTCAAATCGAAGTGATATAAACACCAGACGGTTGTTGTTTCACTCGTTTGGAGTGAAGCTTATCAGCGAGGTATAGATAGAAATAGATGTCCAACATTGTCCACTGCTAGGCAAATCACAGAAATGGTTCATAAAGCGGATTTTAGTAGTGCTTTTAAATTGATTGATCACACACGGACTTGTCATAGGAGTTATGCATAATGAAATTAATAAAGACTTAAGAGGTGGGAAATAGGCTTAGGTCAAGTTAAAAGGACATATTGAAGGTCAAAATAACAATGAAAATCACTAAACCAAATAACAGAGGTAATAGTACATCTACTCTGGCTGATATCAAAACAAAGTTTACCAAGGAAGGTTTAGTGTGATGACGAATTGTTGCTTTGAACGCATAAAGGTAGTTTAAACTTCTTAATCGCTAACTGGGCCTTCCACAAACTTTAGGATACGCCCTCTCCCAAACACGTTTTCTAGATAGGTTTAAAAGATGTGTAAACATCAATGTTACGTGCTGTCTTTAAAATGTTTCGCGATGGAGGAGGTAGGTCTCCTGTTCCCACCGTTAATGGGCTCTAGGGATTTTATCTGCTTCTGAAGTCATTTAAGAATATGCTCTGAAGTCCTTACTTGCAGAGATCGATGAGTCCTCCCTATGTATGTGTGTCCACACTCACATTCAAATAGGTAAATACAGTAGGATGTGACATCATTTTTCGTATAATCTAAAGGCTTAGATGGATATATGGGCTTCTCATGTATTTATATCTCCTGATGAACTTATCTGGATAATTATTATCAGCCAGAGTTTGTACCAACTTTCCTTCTTCCTCATCAAGTTTGTCTTCTGTGCGTAGGTTTGGGTCATATACTCAAATTCGTTGAAGCCTTAGTCATAAATTACTTGTTATTACTCTGAACCTGTCCTGGTTTACTTTTATTTATTTTGTTACATGAAAAAAATATTGATTAATTATTTTATTCAAATTAAAAGGTGAGTAGAACCTGGGCAGTATGTTCAAAGCATGTAAAGAATACTGTTTCACTGTGTGTGGAACATACGCACAGGCCGCCACCCCACCCTACCCCTATTTTTTCCAAACTCATTTTCTTAACGCTTATCTGTGGCCGTGACCTTTTAAAAAAAATCCGACTTATTTTCTAAACTGTTGACCTTTCAGTCAACCTTTTTTAGAAAGAATTATGCTTGACAAGTGCGTCTGTGTGTGTGTGTGTGTGGTCAGGCTGCCCGGGCAAATACACTACATTTTTCAGATGAATGACATCATCTTATTGTTTTTTTTACATATTTGGAAATCCATATAAGGAATTAACTGCTCTACTTTTTTTGCCTGCTTTATTTACCTCTCAAATTATTGGTTCTTATTGATGATGAATGTTTAGTTTTTAGTGGGTTGGGTTGGGTTGGGGTGGGGTGGTGTTGTGTGAATGTAGGTGAAATACAGAAATGATGATTGCATAAGATGATCAGTTAATTAAAGAATGATCAAAGTAATGTAATGCCTACTTTGTCTAGGGCAGACTGCTCTTGTCAGACTGACAATTTCGATGGGCAGATGAACACACAAACACCTCAGTACAGACAAACACACACACACGCAAATACAAAATTTGTAACGGGTTGCTTTTTTTATATGTGACTATCACTCAAAATGTCTTGAAAATTGCGTGATTTGATTAATAACAAGGAAAAAAATAATAAAACTTAATTAAATAATGTTTAGTTGAAAAATGTTATTATCATTCTGTTGTACAACTAAATTGGTTTATAGGTTTCTTATAAAAACTATCTGTGTTGGTGGAAGGCTCGGAGGCAATCGGGCACATGAAGCCTTGGACCTAGGTTTCGTGCAGATACGCTATGTTGATGACTGGTGAGTGGCAAGTAGCACACGAAACCTAGGTCAAGCAAGGGTTTCTGTGGCCTCCGACCATCTGACATCATGATGGCGAGCAACCTAGATTGTTGGTGGCCACATTGCAAATGTGACTGACTGATCGAATTCAGTCTGCTGCAAAGAAAGGACTAGCCAGACACATCACACTACTAGATTCTAGTGTCCAGTGAAATTATCTCAGTACTGCTTCTGACTAACAAAATTACCCGGTGAATACTTAGTGTAGTGTCTAGGATAAAACAAATAATTCTGAAATGTTGAAAGGGGCCTTAAAGCTGATTTCATCTTATTCCTCTACACGTGGAAAATAGGGATCCAAGCTTGAATCCTTGGAATGTTGAGTAGGCATAATGTCGTTTTTACGGGGTGGAATTACTAGCCTTACCCTCAAACTAACCTATTTCGCAGACTTACAGTAGGCGAGGTTTAAGAATCAGAGACTGTGTCGTTGACGCGGCGCCTCTACCATTGAGTTCAGAGACTTAATGTTAATACAGCAATTTGCCTTTCAAATCACAAAGTATGACAATGAAGCTTTCGATGTGTCCAGGCAAAATAGATTCATAACTGGTATGAAAATGATTGCAATTTTCGGCAGGTATCCATAGTATTTTTCTACTACTTTGTGGGATATATTTCCATTAAATCAGGCCCCCTATAATACCATGCAGAAGTGGTAAAAATGTACAAGGGAGGGAACAACAGCTCCATTTTTTTAAAATAAGTGTGCTAAATTCTTAACGTTCGATGTTTTTTCTTTAAATATTTTGTTTTAATTGTGTTCTCCAATGTTCGATAATAAAGTGAACTGATTGAATTTGAAACAGTTAGTTCCCTTAACGAAGGTAGACAAAGCAATAAGAAGACCTAATTTGTATCCTAAGGGTCATTATTGCTTTTATATAGAATAGCAGCAGCTTTTTGTCGAACAACCCTTATAATTCATCATAAGTCTAAGGGATGAAAATCCCCTATCAAGTAATATTCTTACGTTTTCATTCACTTTTTTGAATGTCGTATCCTTTCGATAGGGAAAATTATGAATAGATTGGTTGTCATTATGTTTTGGTGGCTAAGAATTTGAGTATCGATTTCCGAACACGTATGTGGTTCGGGGTTCGATCCCTGACCACCGACGCACTCCTTTACCTCGGTAAGCCGGTAATAACACCGGTTAAGAGGGAAGAATGGGGATGAGGCTAGCGACCTCTTCACGTAAAAAATGAACACCACTGCTACCGAAACAAAGATACTGTGTGTTTCTTAATTGTTTACGCCACCTAATTCCTTATAAGTACTCAGGAATTTGTTGGTGAAGATGAGATTCATCGGACTAAGTATTCAGTTTTCAACTAGTGTAGTGGATCATGGGTTCGAGTTTTGCTCCTTCTACTTCGACCTGTACATTTAGGTAGTACCATCTGCCGTTACATGATGAGTGTGACTCTCTATGAGGTACATGAACAATATTTTTCAGGGTAACTGAGTTTATTGACACCCTGTGTTAACGTAAGAGTAGAATTTGGGCATTGTTGTTGGCCCGTAATACTGAGGTGTTAGACGTAAGAAGGGAATTCAGCTAAGTGTAGAACGATTAACCCCCTAGTAACATGAGAAGAGCTTAGAGAATTTCAATGCATATACTAACGCACACACACACACAATCGTGCAATAGAGTATGGGACAGAGCTACATTGTTCTAAAGGAGTAATATTCTTAGATGTTTGTATGTGTGTGGGCCGGGGGGGGGGGAAGGAGAAATTGTTGTTAATCAGCAGCATGTATTTTGCACTGAAGTGGTGCATTATCAAGTTGAGTGATATATCGATTTGAATGTACTTCTTTATTATTATTTGCTGACTATTTGTTGATTACACACACACTGCAAAGAAACGACTGAATTATTATTGTCCGATTGTAACCGTCACGATAGTGTTTTATTTTACTAAGACTGTTTAAATTGACAGTTGCAGTTGTAACTCATATTTCATACGGTTAATCTTTAACCTAAGTACATAGATGTGCTTCGGTGGCGGTTAGGAATCTTGCCGACCATGCACATGGTCCGAGGTTCGATCTACCGCCGACGCACACCTGATATCTATGGTAGTGAGTCTATGATTTTGGTATCATTTTGGTTAACTTTACTTGACTGTGATATTATTATTGTTGTTGTCGCTTGTTACCCTTTTTCTTGTAATTATTTTCCTGTGCTGGTGTTGTTCTGGTTGTTTTATTCCTTGTTTTCCTGGTTTTAAGGGGAGCAACCCACAAGGTCGCTTCTCTCTAAACTATATTTTAATGTAACAATCCCCTTCCCAGGCGTGAGGCTAGCAACCCCACCCTATAAACAAATTTGCTACAGAAACTTCTATGGTCGGCCTGCTAAACTTGGGCTACCGATATCACATGCTGAAAATTTCATACTTGTACCAAAATACTGTGTGGAATCAAGCTATAATAAAAAATAATAATAAGAAATGTCTTAATTGTTTATGTTCATCTAGTCATAGAGAAACTCTTTGGCAAATTGTTTACTCCAAATCATCTTGAGTAAATATCCTTCTATGCACTCATTTAGTTTGCAGACATTTAACCACTGGGATATTCACCATAGAAAGAGTCTACAACAGGAATACGATAAAAGTGTTGTTGCTGGTTGCTATAGAATAGCTGATTTTGTATTGGAAACTTTGAACTGTGTAATGACATCGTATATTGGATATGTTTAAGTGATCTTGTCCTTACTGGAAGCATTTTTTTTCTTCAAGTATTTTGTTTCTCTTAAATTTATAGGTACGAGCGCCTACCTACTTCCAGAAGTGTCGAGATCAAAACTGGCATATCTCACAACTTGAAGCACATCAAGGTCATTGTTATGCCCAGTTAGCTGAATTAAAAGAACGCCTGTCCATTGAAGTTGCTAGGCAAGCGAATAGTGTTGCGTCGAATACGTCAACGTCGATTGGTGCTGTTGTTCCTGATTGTGGTAGTACTGCGTCGTGTGCATCAAATCCTACTATGGTCTGTCGTGAATCTAGCCAATCAACGAATTCATTGACAGTGAAAACGCCAACAACACCTAGTTTATTGAATAATCCTACTACAAGTATGCCTATAACTGTGCCAGTCACTTCTCAGTCATCTGCTCGAACCTCTTCAATTAAAGAGGAAGGTGACAATGAATGTAACACAAAAATGGAAAATCCTGTGACTACTACTACTACTACTTCTACTTCTATTCAACATAATGCTGATGATAATAATAACAGTAATACAACTGAGCCTATGAATACAATAATATCTCTATGGCAAGATGCACAGAATATTCCTGTTTCAGTTATTCCAAGAACTCCGACATCAATATCATCGGCTAATCAGACGGAAAATATTATCAATGAAGGTGTTGAAGATAATTTGACTACTAGAGCTGGTGAATCTGCAAGTGGATTTAATTCACAGGTTAGTTGATATTTGTATATATTATCCTCTCTCTCTCTCTCCCTCTGTATTATTTTATACATTTTCTTTCTTTAAACAATTTTTTTAAAACTTTCATTCTTTTGAAACAAGAAAGAAGAAACATTGGCGCAGAATAATCTGGATCCAGTTTATTTCGTTGGTTGTCATCAGCAGTTGCGTACAGCCTTTGTCCATTAGCAAGCATATTATGTCAGAGCGTCATAGTGAAATATTATTATTATTGTTTCCTTTAATTCCTAAAGGAACATAGGGCTTCAGCTGTGCGTCTCCATTGCGTTCGGTTCTCTGCTAGAGTCTTCACCTGGCTCCAAGTCTGCCACCCACATGCTTTCATCTCCTCTTCACATGACCTCCTCCAAGTCACCCTTGCACTGACGACCAACCAACTCGCCGCTTCCCTTTCGGTTTCCACTCGAGCAACGGCCTGTCTAGTGATGTCACTTGATGGTTTCCTCAGAGTATGGCCAATCCATCTCCATTTCTTCCTGCCTATTTGTTTCACAATCGGTTCCTGGTTGGTTCGCTCCCAGAGATCCCTGTTGCTGATCTTTTCTGGCTGGCCATCTGATCTTGAGTATTGAGCGAAGACAACTAGCTGTTGATGAAGGTCTATAGTTTGTTTGAGGTGCTCCTTATGACGCGCAGTGCAAGTCTCTGATCCGTATGGTGAGTAGCACTGACTGAATTCACATTGGAGTTGAAAATCCGGATCTTATTTTTGATGCTGAGAGTTGTTGACCTCCACACAGTCTTGAGAGTAGTGAAAGCTTGTCTTGCTTTTCCGATTCGTGTTTTGATATCCTCGTCAGTTCCGCCTGTAGTTGAAACGATGCTTCCCAGGTAGGTGGGTAAAAGAGGTTGTTTCTTTCAGGTTCCTCCCATTTATGGTTAAATAAGGCTTTGCAATTTACAAGGTGTCTAAAGTGTTACGACATATATGTATATCTTGTTAGAGGGAAGTTTCTTAAAGAAAATTAGCAAGTCAAGTGTTGGTTTGTAGGGATTTTATTGGTTACAGGATTTCATCATGAGCTGACATTAGTTAGAGAACCATTGGAAAACCTGGGAGTACTGGACAGCTGTTTCCGTTGTCCTAGTTTGGGACTCTTCAGCAGCACGCACCCACCGGGATTCGAACCCAGGAGCTTCTGGTTACAAGGCGAGCTCGTTAATTGTTAATTTTGTTAACTTATCTTTTCACTCCACTCCCCCTTTATGTTTCGCTTGACTCTCTCAAGAGATAATTTTTCTTGATCTTCTGAGTTCTGCTCACTGTATTACATCATCAACTTCTCATCTGACCTCATGTGCACAGTAATTTTTAAATTTTGATCTTCTCTTATCTAACTACGTAACTATTGCTAATTGTCTTTTGTTACCACCTTAACAACACAACTGTTAACTAATTTTTTCAAGAAACTTCTCTCTAACAAGATATACATTTACGTCGTAACACTTTAGACACCTTGTAAATCGCAACGCCTTATTTCACTATGACACTCTGACACAATATGCTTGCCAATGGACAAAGGTAGTACGCAGCTACTGATGACAACCAACGAAATAAACTGGATCCAGATTATTCTGCACCAATGTTTCTTCTTTCTTTGTTCAAATTTATAGAAAAGGGAATCATTGTATGAAATTTTCTTTTTTTTTCTTTCTTGAATACATTATATACATTTAGCCACAAACTGCTCTACAATTGTCCAATTCTACTACACAATTATCTATTGCTGTCTCTGAACCAATATTAAACTTTCTTCTTACTACACATCAACCGATGAATTCGTCAGTTCTGTCAAGTCTAGATGTAAGTCAGTTAACCGCTTCATATAATAGTGAAGATGCATTATCTCCAAATTCATCAAGATATTTGAACACAACGCATGAACAATCAGTGCTTAGTTGTAGTCGAAATACTCAACGACAAGCAGATGTTGATATTGGATCGGTACATTTCAGTGAAGCAGTATCATATGGCGATGAAGCTGATGTAGAAGAAGAAGAAGAAGAGGAAGAAATAGTCGAGGAGGATGAGGATGATGACGGAGGAGAAGAAGAAGAAATCGGAGAAGGAGAAGAAGACGATGATGTCGATGTCGATGTTGATTCAAATGATGCTGATGAAGAGGTGATAGCACGTAATACAATCGGAGATGATGATTATGATGATCGTGTTAGTGGTGGTGGTTGCGGTGGTGTGGAAGACAATAATCTAACACATCAAAATTCACTACCGAAATTTCGTTTATTTTCAGAGTCCAGTGATGCGGAGAATAGTTTAATTGGTGATTTCAGTGATGGGGAACAACACACTAGACACCGAGATGAAGTTCACGATTATGATATGATATCACAGACAACATCAGAGATGCTTTCTGATCATGAAAGTTTACGTTCAAGTATTGATTATAATCTAGTGTTATTAAAGCAACAATTAAGACAGCGTAAAACTACCAACCCGGTGAATACTACAGATTCTATTAGGACATGTGAAAATAATAATAATAATTATCATAATAGGAAACTGATTAACTCAACTGTACAGATGACAAACTATGAAAACAACTTCAATAATACAGACAATATCCTTGACTCCGAGGCTGGTGGTGGTGATCTAGCCTGTGATTATGAATATCATTCGACTAGAAATGCTTTAGAAGAATTATTGAAACTGCCTGATCCTCGACCTAGTTCGTCTACTACTAGTCGTGTCAATGAATTAATATTGAACAGGAATACCACCTCTAGTAACAGCTGTGCTAGTAGCAGTAATACTGGTAATAGTAATAGTAATAACAATAATAAACAAAAATCAAGTCAACTTTCACGTCACCCGCTATGGTTTAAACTTTCCTCCTCGTCTAATGTCACTAATCATATTAATACTACTACTAATAATAATAAGTCTCGCTTACAACTGATGAATCAACAAGCCTCAACAAGTCGGTCTAATCAAAACTCAAGTTTTATTGAAGAAAGATTTAAACAATTGAAATGTCAGTCTTTAGAACAACAGAAAGCCTTGCCAACTGTTATACCGAATGTAGACGATATACAGTACTGTAGTCGTACATCTGATCAAGAGTGTTCAGCAGCCAGATCATTTGTTGTTAGTGAATGTTTAAATAACAAGTTTATTAAAGCGTTATCAGAGTCACATGAATCGCCACAGGCGTCGAATTACCAGTCTGGATTAAATAGTGAGTCGCGTTGGGGAAGAAGAAGAATATCCAGAGACTCAAATGCTTGCAGGTAAGTAAGTTGTGTGTGTAAATAATTTAAAACTATTATTAGTAATATTGTTATTGTTCCCTTGGGTTCCTAGTGGAACATAGGGCTTCAACTACACGTCTCCACTGCATCCATGTTAATCCATACTGTTTCAACTCCTCTTGACACGATCTCCTCCATGTCACCCACACTTGAACGTCCCACTCGCCGCTTCCCTTTCGGGTTCCACTCGAGTGATGGCCTGACGCGCGATGTCATCCAGCGGTCTCCTCAGCGAGTGTCCAATCCATCTCCACTTTCTCCTGCATATTTGTTGGTCGATTGGTTCTTGTTTTGTTTGTTCCCATAGTTTCTTGTTAGTTCTTGTTCTTTCCGGCCATCTGATCTTCAGTATACAGCCAGCGAAGACAGTTGTTGATAAAGGTGTGCAACAGGCTGTTGGAAATAAATATTCTTTGTGACCCACCAAGTTTCTGATCCGTATAGAAGAAGTGACTGACTTGACGTTTGCATTGAAAATACGAATTGTATTGTTGATGTTGAGTGACGAAGATTTCCAGATTGGTTTCAGATTGATGAATGTGTTTCTCGCCTACCCGATTCTCGATTTGATATCCTCGTCCGTTCGTCCTGTAGTTGAGACAATGCTCCTCAGCTCGCTAGTTTTCTAGCCGGTCCCAAGCCCGGATAAAGAGGAGGGTGGGGGCGTGGTGCTAGCAACTCCACCCGCAAAACTCAAACAAATTGCTACAGAAACTTCAGCGCATAAATATATTAGAAATTTAAAACTATGCTGGTTCATATTTAGTTTACCTTAGACTTGTGTAGTTCTCATCTTTAAGTGACTATATAAGTTTGACTTAGTTTGTTCAAAAGAACTTTGAATCGACAATATCTCTATAAAACCAATATTTTAAAATGGACTGTTTGAAGCTCCAGTGAAAGTCGTAACCCGTGTTGGAGCACAATCATGTCGACTTGTAAGGACAGATCACTCACCGACGACAATGACTGGAGATAGATGGCTGTGTATCACGAATTGATAGAAGTTATCAATTCATAAGCTATTCCACCTGACCCAGCGGATAAATGCTAACATGTGAAGGCTGAAGGTTCTGGGTGTTCAGTAACTAGAAAGTTTATGAGTCCTCACTGGTAAAGAGTCCCAGACTGACTTGACAAAACCGTTGTTCAATACTCTTTAGTTTCAAAGGATTATCCAACTGATGTCAGCTACCTTGAAATCAACTTAAAATAATCAAAATTCTTCAGATGCTCGTTTTTATCCAACGTAAGGAGTAGAATATACTGCCATATTTTATAAAGTTACTCGAACCCAGCAGTCATCGTCGCTTCAGAGGCCAAAGCGAGAATACCACCAATCATCAGGAATGCTGGTACATGGAGCTGATGAGTTTCAAACACGTAGAATGACACTGTTTGACTGTGTCAAATATACCCACTAACACAGGTAATCATACTCTCTCTCCCTCAGTATCCAATTTCGACAGTGTTATGTGTGACATAAGCATAAGATAGGCGTTAACTAAATAACTCACCATAGTTTATCACTTGATAAGGCTATAAACAATGAAATGGGTGTGGCACATAAATAGTCTAACCTTATTATCAAAGTGAAAATGACTTATCTGTTGGAGAAGTTAGCGTACATTTGTTACGGCTTAAGTGATATTAATATATGTGTAAAACTTGGGCACTGTGGTAGTAAGTAATTCCATATTAGTTTGTTTATTAGATGGATATATCACACAGTGAAACAGTATTGTTTACTGGATGACATTTTGAACAAAATTTATTCTTCATACTGATATTGTTAGTTATAATCACACGACTTCGAAACTTGAGTTTTATAGTTTTCTTTGTTCTCTCCTATTTGTCGTCGTTGGGGCAGTAGAATTTTCCAGATATCTCGATGGACAGGCGTTGAATCATTCCTACTGCACGTATTCTCTCTTAGTTGACTCGACAAACAAAGCATCCATTATCAATCTCTCCCTCCACTCTGTGACATTAGATTTTAAAACTTTCATCTTATCCCATCCATCCTACCGTATGGTTGTGTGTAACTACATGCAGTGAGTACTATAGCTGAACTATTCTCTAGATTTCTTATCTTATTGAGGTCAACTAATCTAGATTTTGCTGCTAGGTTTTTATGCTCGGCTTGTCTGACTGCACCTGTTCTACTAGTCTGACCTATGTATTTGACATGACAATCATTGCAGGCAGGGTATTAGATAAACTAAATTGTTTTGTTTTATTGGCTCCACAGGATTGATCCGTTAACCGACAAAGCTTGTTTCTAATTGAGCTTGTGAGTAATTGAATGCCAGCCACTTTTATTCCTGCTTTGTTAGGAATTCTGCATAAGGTTTCTGAGGTTCCTTCCTTGTGTGGAATTACTACTGATGATTTCGATTCCTTATTGTTGGTGTTGTCATTATCTTGTGCATGTTTGACATGCATGTCGTCATTAATATTACTATTATTATAATTATTATTGTTCGAAACATTGTCATCCAGTAAATAATACTGTTTCACTGTGTGAGAGATTTAATAAACAAACTAATATGGAATTACGGCTTAAGTGTATTTTATCATTCTCTGAGAAAGCGTATATATTCTAGGCAACATTATTGAGTTACTGAGTGATTTATAAAAATGCCACCTTATTGTCGTCCTTTTATTATTATTATTATTATTATTATTATTATTATTATTATTATTATTGTGATTAATGATTATTATTACTAATAATGGTGTTTTCCGTAATTATTCTCATTGAAGGAGAAGAGGAAAATACAAATGAGCCTTTATTTATTGAAATTTTTACTCTACTTTTTTTCCCCAGTGACACTACTTTGATGTGTCCTAAACTATGCGCCTCATCGTCTTCATCACGGTCGTCATCACAAGACGAGACAATATCACTACGGCGTTTACCGAAAGATAAAAGTTTTAAACTTCTATACGGTGTCCGTATACCTGAATTGGAAAATAAACACCAACACGAACACCAACAACTACAGCAACAGCAGCAGAAAAAACAACAGTGTAACAGTCCAAGACAACTCGCTCATTGTCATAAAGAAGACGGTGTTAGTTCTGGTTATCCCTTAACACTGTTAACAACTGGTCCAGTCGCGTCAACATCATCATCATGTAATCTTAGAAAAGAATTGTTGAATGGGGCTAATCTTCCAGTGGTTTGTAATAAGGATATATCTTGGCATAGACCTTTGCAAAATACTAATTCTGGTCCTTCAACTCGTGTAAATTTAAATAACCATTCTGATGGATCATCACTGTCAACAACTAAGACGACCATAGCACCAGCATCATCATCATCATCTGCGTTGGTACCAACGTTGAAATGTTCAAATCATTTCGCATCAGTCAAAGATTCAGTGGAACCGTTGGCAACACCATCAACACAAAACATGAAAAATACAGCGCAAAGTTTAGAAAATGATATTGATGAGGAAACAATGACAGGTGAATCATATATATATATATATATATATATATATATATATATATATATATATATATATATATATATATATATATATATATATATATATGTAAAATGCCTCTTTACACAGTTGCTAAAAGACAACATTCTTGTTTGAAATTAGATATTTTTGATGTATCGAAGCTCTGAGACGCTTGCTACCCGGCAATTATGCCAATTTTTACGCAACTATAAGGCAAATAACTGAAGAAAAAGTCCATTTTTTAACGGACTAACTGATCTGATGATATTAGGTGGTTGGAGGCAATCGGCCACAGGAAGCCTTGCTTGGCCTAGGTTTCGTGCTAGTCACTTATCAGTCACCAAGGCGTATCTGCAACCTTGAAGGAACTCATGTCCCTTCTGAGATCGGAACCCGCGTCACTCTGTGCTGCATTCAGAAATGTTACCACTGAGCTATTTGGGCTCGCGATCGACCTTCTGTGGGACTGACTGTATTGGATAATTTGGTTGGAGACTAGTAACTACAGTGTCGGTGGCGTAGTGGTTAGGACGCTTGTCGACCATGCACATGGTCCGGGGTTCGATCCCCGGCCGACGCACTCCTTTACCTCGCTAAGCCAGAAATAATGCTGGTGAAGAGGGAAGGTTGGGCATGAGGCTAGTAACCTCATCCTGTAAAAATGAACACTGCTACAGAAACTTCAAGCCACTGGCCTGAAGCCCTATGTTCCACTGGGAACGTAAAGGAAATAAAAAAAACAACTAGTAACTACTGCAATGTGTCTAGTCCTTTTTTCGATGCAGACTGAATTTGATCAGCCAGGTTTGCAATGTGGCTGGCCACCACTCTAGGTAGCTCGCCATCATGGTACACACTAATTTGATTATAATAGATGGTTGGAGACAATCGGCAGAAAGCCTTAGACCTACGTCACGTGCTAGTTGGCACTCGACTAACTGATCTAATGCAAACCCAGTCAATGTTATTTATCGGCGATCAGTTTCAATATTATGAAGATGAAGGTTGGTAGTGAACAGGAAGGCCTTGTGAGTTTATGGGAGGATAACACTTCTCAGAGTAACTGAAAAAGAAAGACTATTAGCGTTGGGTGACTGCAGACCACAGCGGAAAATTGTCTGAGACTGGTTTCACACTGCCTGTTTGAAGTGTTTTTGGAGTTGTGTTCGTATTGAGATTCCACAGCCGCAAGGTAAACGCAATGCAAAATTTCCCAGGTCGACGTTTTTCTAACTAAACCATCGTCCTCAGAGTTGCGAAGTAGCATAACTGGCTTGCTGGTCATCTGAGGTGAAACACCTTACACTGATGTTATATCCTTATTCGTCAACAGTACAACTTCACCCATAGACCGACCCCAAACATAGTGTAAATCACACAATTCACAGTGCGGTGGTAACTGATTTTAGTCCGACCGCGCTATGAAAACGATGCTTCAGACATAGTGGGACACACAAGAACATTGATTCTAGCCTGTTGGGTCATTAAGGTATGCAAGTTTGACCATAATGTCATGGGGAGCAGCTCTATCGTCCGGTGGTGGTGGTGGTGTATTCTGGTTGTATAAGCACCACCTCTGCTCTGCAGGATTACTGCATTCAAGTGACAAGTAAAACCATGTCAAGACATAAAAAGGTCAGAATCCATTGTCATTACTAGCAGTAGTTAAGTGCTTTACCACACTTGACATGACTCATCCCACAGTCTGTTTCTTTCTGGATCTGCGAGTAGTTGGTTATAATTGAGCCAGTGGTTAGTTATTTGTTCAGAAGGTTATAGTAAACTGATATACTGCAGATTAATTTTGATTGCACACTAGTGAGTAACTAGTGTAATGTGTCTACTCCTATCTTCGCTGCAGACTGAATTCTATCAGTCATGTTTGCAATGTGGCCACTATGCTAGGTGGCTCGCCATTACGGTGCACTGTGAATTGTTGCTATTAGATGGTTGGAGGCACAGGAAGCTTTGGACCTAGGTTTCGTGCTAGTCGCCACTCATCAGTCACCAAGACGTATCTGCAACCTTGAAGGAACTCATGTCCCTTCTGAGATTCGAACCCGCGTCACCCAGTGTTGCAGTCAGAGACGTTACCACTGAGCTATTCAGGCTCGCGACTGACCTCCTGTAGGACTGACTGTATTGGATATTTTTGATTGCGGATTAACTTTCAGCAGGAGTCGATGTTATTGAAATTTGCTGTGAAATTAGTCTGATTTCCGTAAAGTCACAATTATTTTTTATATAATATTAATAGTTGAGTAAATTCACCTCTTTTTAAAATAAAAAAATCAAATTCATATTTCTTCCTTATTCACTGTAGGTGATCGTGACATAGGTGAACATGTGTTGAGTAATCGTCGTTTGTGGGAAGATCCAAATCTTACTATTACAACCAACATGAATAGTACTGCTGCTACTACTAATACTAATACTATCACTGCAAATAGCAAATCAACCAGTTCTTCGTTATTGTCTAATCTTGACAATAGAACACTTAATCAATCTAAACTTTTATCTGTCTCACCACGTTCACTGTCAACGGGATCTAGCACAAAAATGAACGAATCAAGTGTTAATAATACTAATAATAAATAAAAAATCCAGTCCATCTACAATAAGCAATGCAACACGTAAACAATCAAAACCATCAGATGAAATCAATCCGCGTACAATGTGCAATAGACTCTGTTTCAAAGCGAAACGTATTCATGATGCCTTAGAATCTGGTAAATTTGTAAAATCAAATAGCTGTAATTCTTCAGAGAATACACTTCAAAGTCAAGAGAAAGCATCGCATTCTCTTTCGAAGTGAGTCAGTCGTACAGCTTTATTATAACAGATTATTCATAGTATTTTGTGATTACACTTACTGACTGACTGACTCACCAGTTTCGACATAGAACTTAGCACAGATGTGCAGCAGTTCGACTTGCACCACCCTCCCTGCACACATAGCACACACGGCAGAGTAGAGAGTAAAGAAACATTCAAAATAGAGAGAGAGAGAGAGAGAATAATGAAACAAAAGTGTGAGTGAGGGAAAAAGAATAGCAATATGGAAAACCAATAGCATTTCATTGGATATTAAAAATCAAAATGACTGAATGCATCTGTGCCAGACATTGATAACAACAATTTTGAGCCATATCACCGCCAATAGTCTCCATCCTTCATAGATTCTGACAATCTCGAGGACCCTAACCAGTCAGGAAGTTTACACCTCCCTGCGTGGCTGGTTTAAACTAACTGTTGTGGATTTCTTCATTGACTGATGAAGCCATGTTTTGGTTTGACCGCCACTGGTTAGGTCTTTTCCAACCTAATCTATCCTATGTCAGCTAACATTGCGCGTTGACGAGGAAGGTGATGGGTGCAAGGCATTCATGCATGCGTAACAGGATGATACGACTTAGTATTTTACTTGGCGAACGTGCACAAGAGCATGATTCCACGTCAGTTCTTGCGGAGAGAGGCTTAAGTCGCCTTTCTTTGGAAGATTGACGAGGTACCCTGCCTTTCCTCTAATTGGTAGCTTCCGTCCCTTCCTTCAAAACCTTTTGCAATAATCGCGTGAGAACATCTGCCAAAGTCTCTCGGTCAGTTTCCAGTGCTTCGCAGTGACGGAATTCCATCTGGTCCTGCTGCCTTCCCGACCAACCTACCTTCAGAAACTTGATCGCATTCAGGATTTCTGATTTCCTTCGTTGGGGGATTGGTGTCCAATTGCAAGCAGTTCTGTGCATGGTGTTGCTAGTGGTGGTGGCATTTCTGGGTGAGTCACGGGTGATGGTCGATTAAAGAGTCTTTTGAAGTGATCATCCCAGTGTTCTACTTGTTTCTCCTCCTTGGTAATCAGGTTCCGTTGAACACATTTTATTGATTCCATCATCTGGGTGGATATCTTCCTGTGTAGCTAGCAGCCGGTTATCTGATGTAATGTTCTCAGGTCTCTCCTACATGCAGCTGCCTGTTATGCCTCAGTTGACAGCCAGTGTGCCGTTTTTTGTGTGTGGCTTTCGTCTCTGCTAGCACTCCTCTTCACTTCTTTCACTACTCGGTGCAGTGTACATTGCTGTGAACTCAGTCTCTCCTTCTGTTCTCTTTCCCATCTTTGCATTGAGTCATCTTCTCTTCCACCTTCCTCCTCTCCTCTCCTCACTTCTATTAGCTTCCAGGTAGGCGTCCGTTGGCAGCCATTCCTTATCTTGTGTCTTATTTCTTCATAGAACAGTTATACACGTCTCCTTGGACATCACCTGCAGAAACTTAGTTCCAATGTTCCTCCCGTCAAACAAGTTTCCTTAGTGATGTCACGTAGTGTCTCCAACATTGCTGTGATCTCATCTGTAGTGAAGGTAGGTATCCCTTGTAGTTTTGTCCTTCAGTTTCTGAATGTTGAACTTGATTTACAGTGGTCTGTCTCAAGTTGTTCTGAGGGATTTCGGCTTCACCTTGAAGGTTCCTTGAACTAGATCATGCTGATGGTCTGAGCTCACATCTGCTCCCCTTCTCGACTTTGTGTTCAGCAGACTGCCTCGCCAATTCCTTGACCACATTGAAATGAAATCTATCTAGTTCGTGGTGTGCTTATCAGGCGAAATCCATGTCGCTGGCCTTGTGTATATCTTTGTGTTTGTACACGCTGCCTCCGACTAACAGATCATTGAAAGCGGAGAAGTTTGCGAATAATTCTCCCTTCACATTCATTTATCCAAGTGAGAGCTTCTCGATGCATGGTGAGTTCTCTCCCTGTGTTATCTGCTCCCAGTTCGGCTTGCATTCATATTTCTCATGAGGATTTTGATGTCACCATTTGGCATGTTGTCCATAACTGTTTGTAGTTGTCTGTAAAAAAATAACTTCACGTCTTGTTCCGCGTTATGTGGGATACTGTGCGTAATACTGGATAATTGTGACCTTCCTTTGGATTTGAATCTTGCTGTCATGATCCTGGATGATAATGGTTCCCACTGCATTAGGGCTCTGGCTGCCACTGGCGATATCATGGTAGCCACTTACTGTTTCAGTGTGTTCGTGGTTGTCGTCTGAGTGACCACACCGGAGTAGATTACTGAATCTCCAGTTGACACTTATGATGATTCGCATCCATTCCATCTGCTATCACAGATTCCCAGCACTTCTATGCCATATCTTCGCATTTCTCTGGCTACCTGGGCAGCTTTCCCAGCCAGTGTCGTACAGTGTACGAGCATCTCACGTCCCCATTCTTATTCTTGCTGTCATCGAGAGAGAAGAGAAGACACATCGGCTTTCTGGCTTCCCAAAGGCTTTCATGAGGCGGCTGTGTCATTTCGCCTCGCCGACTCGAGGGAAGAATATGATTGTTGTTATTTGAGTTTTGTATTTTAATATATATATTCTATGCGTTGAAGTTTTTCTAGCGGTTTGATAGGTTTAGTGGTGTGGAGTCACTAGCCCCACGCCTCTTTTACCGGGCATGGTACCCGTTAGAAAACTAGTAAGCCAGTTAGCTAGGCGAGGTTGAACTATTTGACACTTGCCCAATTTAAGCCAGTACTTAAGATAATGCCAGGTTGTATGCTGAAATTATCTGTCTCCGATGTGTCGATGATTTCTATCACTAAACACTTCAATATTAGTGCATTATTTATATCTATCTTGTGTTGATTGTAATTTGTCAGTTCACATACCTTTTTCTCATCTTTTCATTTACCAGGCTTGATGATAATTTAGACTCTGTAAATACAGATGAAGCTACAACAAGCAATTCAGGCTTAAATCTTCCACCAGCTCATTTAGGTGAGATTGACACTGAGTCGCAGGAATCTACTCCTGCACAGTATCCATTTGTTGAATGTAAGTAAATTATGAGATGCATAACATTTAATGGTTTGTATGATGGGAAGCTTTCTTTTCTTCAGCAAAGATAATTTTCTTTATCGATGAATTCATATTCATAGGCTGTTCTGTACAGTCGTATTTATTTATATCTATCAAAATTATAATTGATACAATTACACAGAAGAAGTGGCTTTAGAAGTGAAGACAAAAGTTGTAAATCACGTAATACTCAAACAACAGCACAAAGGAAGAAAGGTCTCAGAAATTTGATAAGGCTTAGAATTGTTATTGAGTGAGAAGAAAGGTAGTTGAGTGTCCATTTAACTGGTTGGCTGGCTGGCTGGCTGGATTCAACGTAGAACTTGGCACCGAAGTGCAGCAGTTCGAGTTGCCACGTTCCAAAGAGCACACAAAGGTAGACAAGAAGATGAGTGAAGAGAATCAATAGAGCTCTGACAAGTAAAAGAGTGAAACAGAATGAGTAATGGTAGAAAGGAATATGAAAGATTACAGAAGAGACTGAATACATCTGCGTAAGCCATTGACAACGATTTTGAGCCATGTCGCCTATTGTCTCTAGCCATTGATTCTTAGAGTCCCGAGGGCCCCAACCCGGAAGTCTGCATCTCCCTACCTGACTCAGTTTAACTGTCAGGGATTTCATGAATTGATGCCATGTTTTTGTTTGGCCACCACTTACTCTTTTCCAACCTGCACCTATATCAGCTAGTAATGCCCGTCGTGTCCATTTAACAAATGTGAAGAGGGCAGTGAAAATGTACAAAAGGAAAATATGCGAGTGATAACAGTACAATTAATTATTAAAGTAAAAGCAAACTAAAAGTAAAATTGAAAATTTAAGAAAAAAGAAAATTTTTTACAGGGAAAGACTAGTGAAGAGGTTGAGACCATGGCAGAATAGGAAACTGGACAAAAGTTTTCTGTATACAGAGTTCGGGGTTTTGTTTTGTTGACCAACTATCAACACCTCTGCCATACACAAAAGCCGAAACCTGACGCCCTTTGTACCATTTGGCCCCCCACCTTGTAGATAATCTTGAAAGACGACTCTGGTAACTCTAGTAACTGTCTTACATTGTCTTTCTCGCTAACCATGCGAGATAATTTTCAGAGATGCATTGTGAAAGTGTGTACTTTGTGCCTATACAACTAACTCCACATGAGCAGGTGAATATATATACACACACACATTCCAAAGCCGCAGTTTTTCCATCACACACCCATCGATCACTTGTCCTCTGTAGGAATTGATCTGTAGTTCAGCAGCAAAGAGGGCGTTTCACAGTGATCTGGGTAGGCAGTGGTTCTTCAGGACCTCAGCGGCGGTATTCACATGTATGCAGAAGCCTTACTTTGACATTTAACTTCACCAGAATATCTTCCGAATTAAATAATGTTTTTGAATTATGATATGAAAGGGTTAACTTCTATAGATAAGCTTGCAATAAGAAGTAAGTTAAACTATTACCGGAGATATGTCTCATATAATAACATATCGTGCGTCGGTGGCACAGTGGTTAGGACTCTCGCCGACCATGCACATGGTCTGGGGTTCGATCCTCTGCCGACGCACACCCGATATCTATGGTCGGCCTGCAAAATTTGGGCTACCGATATGACATGCTGAAAATTCCTTACTTGTACTGAAAATACGGTGTGGAATCAAGCTGTAATCAAAAATAAAAATATCACATATGATACAAACAATGCAAGAACAACAGAAGAACGAGGATTTCTAGCAACAACCACAAACATTTATGGACAACATGCCAAATGGTGACATCAAAATCCTCATGAGAAATATGAATGCAAGCCGAACTGAGAGCAGATAACACACGAAGTGAACTCACCATGCATCGAGAAACTCTCACTCGGAAAATGAATGCGAACGGAGAATTATTCGCAAACTTCTCCGCTTTCAATGATTTGGTAGTCGGAGGCAGCGTGTACAAACACAAAGGTATACTTGAACAAAGAAAGAAGAAACATTAGTGCAGAATAATCTGGATCCATTTTATTTCGTTGGTTCTCATCAGCTGCGTACAACCTGAATTTTTTAATTAAAAATAAAGTGTACAACTTTTAACAAACCTTTGTCCATTAGCAAGCATTGTGTCAGAGTGTCATAATAAAATAAGGCATTGGCATTTACAGGGTGTCACCACATATATATATATCTTGGTAGAGAGAAGTTTCTTGAAAAAATTAGTTAACAGTTGTGTTGTTAAGGTGGTAACAAAAGACAATTAGCAAAATTTACGTAATTAGATGAGAGAAGATCAAAATTTCGGTGCACATGAGGTCAGTTGAGAAGTTGATGATGCAATACAGTGCAGTGAGCAGAACTCAGAACATCAAGACAAAGGATCTCTTAAGAGAGTCAAGCGAAACATAAAGGGGCAATGGAATGAAATGACAAGTTAAGAAAATAAACAAAATTAGAAAACAAAGAGTTACTAAGAAGTGAGTTACCAGGGTAATTGAAGTCCAACAACGGATTCTTTTTGGACAAATATGTAGGCTTCAATCGTTTTGTTGCTATAGCTTCGGCAAACTTGAGAAGACTTGAGGTACTTTGTCTGTTAATTATTTTGAATGATTCCGGCACATCTACTCGGTGTCCTGTGTCAATCAGATGTTTGGCGATTGAAGAGCTTAAACAATTCGGTCCCTTTAACCGGAGGCTCCTTGGTACATGTTCGCAGAATCTGACGTAGGCCCTCCTCTCTGTTCTCCCAATGTAACTGCTCCCGCAGATACATGTGAATTGGTATACACAGTTGGAGGTAACATGTGAGGGGTACTTGTCAATCTTTGACTGCACCAGTGAAGAGGTTGTTCGGGATAGAGAGACTAATAACGCTGCAGGATACGTCCTTAAGATAACTGGCACGTTTGCGAGGTGGTTCAAAATCATAAGCATCCACCGGTATTTGACGCTTTTGTACCAAAACAGCAGCTTTTGCCTCAGATGGGCAAGAGAACAGAAGGAGAGTTTGAGTTGACAGCAATGTGCACTGCATCGAATTGTGAAAGAAGTGAAGAGGAGTGCTAGGAGTGACAAAAGACACACACAAATACGACACGCTGACTGTCAGCTGAGGCATATTAGGTAGCTGCATGTTGGAGAGTCCTCAGAACATAACATGAGATAACCGGCTGCTAGCTACACAGGAAGATATCCACCCAGATGATGGAATCAATAAAATGTGTTCAACGGAACCTGATTACCAAGGAGGAGAAACAAATAGAACACTGGAATGATCACTTCAAAGGACTCTTGAATCGACCATCACCCGTGACTCACCCAGAAATGCCACCACCACTAGCAACACCATGCACAGAACTGCTTGCAATTGGACACCAATCCCCCAACGAAGGAAATCAGAAATCCTGAATGCGATCAAGTTTCTGAAGGTAGGTTGGTCGGGAAGGCAGCAGGACCAGATGGAATTCCGTCACTGCGAAGCACTGGAAACTGACCGAGAGACTTTGGCAGATGTTCTCACGCGATTATTGCAAAAGGTTTTGAAGGAAGGAAAGGCAGCTACCGATTGGAGGAAAGGCAGGGTACCTCGTCAATCTTCCAAAGGAGGGCAACTCAAGCCTCTCTCCGCAAGAACCGGCGTAGAATCATGCTCTTGTGCACGTTCGCCAAGTAAAATACTAACTCCCATCATCCTAGAGAGAATAAAAGATGCACTGGATGCAGAACTCCACCAGCCCGGAACAAGCTGGATTCAGGAAAGGTAAATCATTTGCTGATAGAACTGCAAATCTACGCATCACCTTCAAGCAGAGCATAGAATGGCATTTGAACTTCTTTCTACTTCAGTTCCACCGACTTCAAAAAGGCCCTCAACAGACAGCGTTGACCGAGACCTACCCCAAATCTTTATCAACCTCATTCCACAGTTGGCTATGTGACAATGGCACATGTCAGGTGATCCACAACAGCGAAGCCTCTGAAGTGAAGACAGCAGTAACAGAAGACTGCCTGCTATCACCGACAATATTACCGCTTGAGGTAGACTAGACCCTGCCGTAGACTGTGGGAAGCGAGGTGACAGGAATAGGAATACGTCGAACCAACAAGAAGACTCGAGAATATTTAAACTTCATGGGCAATTTATGTCTAGTGTCGCAAAACTCGAAGATACACAGGCGAGAGGCAACAAATCGACAGAAGTATCAGGCAGACAAGACAGGATTTCAAGTGAACATAGAGAAGACAGAGATGGTGAAGATACTGACTATCACCACCACCACCACCACCACGAACAACAACAACAACCGCTGGTCATTATGAACAGGAGAAATTTGAAGGAAGTCACTTCATTCACTTATGTAGGCAGCATCCCTGCAACTACACAAGCGGAACGATTGAAGATGTCTAAGCCACAAGAGGAAAGGCAAAACACACCCTCGTCAATCTGAAATCAGAGTGGAAATCTACTGCAGCATCCAGTCAGCATAAGGAACACGATTCGGATATTCAACACTGATGTCAAGTCAGTCAGTTCTTTCATCTGCTGCAGAAACTTGACACACACACATACACATCAATAAAACCATTTCTAACAGGCTTCAGACTTCCATCAGAGAGCTGAGCTCCATTTCGAGGATGATATGACCAGAAAGAATTAGCAACAAGAAACTCAGAGGACGAACTCGAACTAATCAAGAAGCTATTGCTCAACAAATATTCCGAAGGAAATGGAGACTGACTGAACACACTCTGAGAACATAGTTGGCTGACATCGGGTGCCAGGCTCTCGAGTGGAACTTGAACGGGGAATGGCCAGTTGGGCCCCTGAGAGTGACATAGAGATCATGTGACGAGGAGGAGGAGGAGGTGAGAGTTTATAGACAACCGTGACTGCAGAGAACAGGATGCAATTCAGACCTACTGAAGCCCTCTGTTCCAGTTTAGGTTGGTTTTAGCAGTTCATTAGGCTCTTTCCTCTCTCTGTCTGTTTTCGACATAAACAGTGGAAGGGAGCTTTGTACTTCTGTGTCTGATTGCATTATCATTTGTCTTGTACAACCATTTTCCCTACTAAGACCAAATAGTTACCCGATGATACCTACCTCCAATGCCTTTTCCATACCGTTTAACTTTCGTGGCCCACCACTGTCCGCAGTCATGGCGAATACTCGTCAGCTTGCGTATCACCACCTTCACTCCTCGTCAAGTCTTCGGTCCTCTGGGATCCTTCTATCACCCGAAATTAAATGGCAGAGATCCACTGGGATATGCTGTCCTCTGTCTCTAGGTCATCAATAGCTTCAATCACTTTTGTGTTTGGTTGTGTTCTGGTCGGATTAATTGAGAGACTTCCGTTGTCCTTCGAGACAACATGTCCGCGCAAGTCAATATATATTTTTATTATTATTATTGTTTCCTTTAATTCGTAGAGGAACATAGGGCTTCAGCCGTGCATCTCCATTGCGTTCGGTTCTCTGCTAGAATCTTCACCTGGCTCCAAGACTGCCCACACGTTTTCATCTCCTCTTCACATGACCTCCTCCAAGTCTCCCTTGCAGTGACGACCGGTCGGTCGATCGGTTTTCGACATAGAACTTTGCACATATGTGCGGCAGTTCAAGTCACCACACTCCCTCGTTGTAGCACACAAAGGAAAATAAGAAAGTAGAAGAAATGCATAATATAGATAGTAAACAGAGGTGTGAGACAAAGGTATAGTAATAACGAAGAGCAAAACAGTTTCATTGGAAATCATAAGTCACAAGGAGTGGATGCATCGGCGCCAGTCATTGAGAACGATTTTGAGCCATGTCACCAATTGTTTCCAACCATTTGGTTTTTACCGTCCCAAGACCCCAAACAGTCAGGAAGTCTACACCTTCCTACGTGGCCTAGACTAACTGTTGTGGATTTCATTGACTGGTGGCATGTTTTCGTTTGACCGCCGCTTGCTCCTTTCCAGCCTGGCCCTATGTCAGCTAACATTGCCCGTCGAGGAAGACGATGACTAGGCATACGTAATACATGTCCTAACCATCTAATCCAGTCGATGTAATTTCACAGTCTAGTCGACTGATTTCCCCGCCTTACTCGACGCCTAACCTCAATATTGCTCACCACTTCACGTGGGAGATTGAACGCAGACACCTATGATCGAAGACAGATAATCTTTTCATGTCTTCTGCTCTCAATGGCCATGTCTCACAGCCATAAAGGAGGACGGAGTGGACTGCTGAGCAGTACACACGCCGTTTGGTTGACAGGTAGCCACGTACCACGTCTACGCCAGAGACGGAGTAAACTGGCATATGCGGTTCTAGCCCTCTGTATTCGTGCTGAGATTTCGTCAGAGATCAACCCGTTGGGGCTGATTTTACTTCCCAAATAAACATAAACGTGCGCGAACCAGAGCGTGTTCAGAGTCTACGCACGTGTTCCAGAAGGAGCGACAGTCTTTTACTGACCCTCGCCAACGATACCCTATGACTATGTGGTCTATCTGAGTCCAGCGTTGATTTGGTGATGGTTACACAACGTTTCTCTTTGGGCCTAAAGTTAGTGCTAACTAGGAACAGATGATTATCTGAGCGAAACTGTAGAAGACAATCACCGTTATCGGTTCGTCGGTAGGGAACTCCATACGTACCACTTACATACTTCTCAGTCTGGCACAACTTCCCTACTTGGGCACTGAAGTCGCCTGCTAAAACAACTATGTCTGAACGTTTTGCTTTTTGCAGCAAATTAGACAGTTTCCGGTAGAAGTCATCTTTTAATTCATCCGAACTGCAATCTGTTGGGGCCTAACCGGAAACTACGAAAAGGCAACGACGGGTAGCGCCGTCTTTCCCGTTCAGACGGACCGCGCAAATACGACTATCTACTGGGATCCAGTCAAGAAGTGATTTTTCCGCCTTAACACTCAGTGCTATCCCTACACCTGTGAGTACTGACGGACAAGCTGAGGGGTCTCCCGACACCCTTAAAGTGAATTTTGCAGATTCACATTGTTGACTGGGTGAGGTCAAGTGAATGACCACACTTGGGTCTTGTATGCGTGTCTCCGAAACACAGCATACATCCATGGCTCTAGATTCCAGAGTTCTTGCTAGTGATGCCTGTTGTCCGATTTGGCAGAGGGTCCTGATGTTAAAAGCTCCTATATGAAGTTGGCGACGTGGCTTAAAAAGGCTATCTGGGGTGTTTCTATGTCTCTCATCGTTGTTTGTGGTCACAGAGTGAACTGAAGATGACTCACTAGCCTGAAGAATAGTGCTAACTGTAGTAGAGAAGCAAGATGAGGAAGGTGATGTGAGTAAGGGACGGTGATGCACAGGTAGGCTTCGTGTGCTTCTGGAAGTGTGTGGGCGGTTGTTACTTCCCGGCTGCCGACACCGTGGAAGTTGGTTGAGTCTTCGGGTACCTGAAATAGAGAAAAGGTTAGTGTTGTGTAACCGCAGAGCCCAGGGGACAACTGCTTGAGTCAGGCCGGTCACACGCGGCCTGATTTTGTTTGTTTGTTTTTGTTTGGTGTGTCTCAGTAGCATATTTATCACTTCTGCCCTGTGACACGGCAGCAGGAAGCGCGGTCGTTGTTAATCCGGGCCATGGCCGATCCGGCATGATATCTTGTGAGTTTTTTGGAATCATAGTATTGGACTGGGTAGCTGCTTTTTGTCTAGCCGCTATCCAAACAACCTTTCTGGCATGATAGGACATACAGGAACATAAGTTCCAGCCAGTGTAGCTCATTGGGTCATTGCGATATGCAAGCTCGACCACCACGTCAAGGTAGCACCTATCGGTCGGCCTTTTTCCTCTATCCATTTCAGTCAAATACATTGACAATCTTGTGTATGATTTAAGCATTTATCTTTCAGACAGTGAGCTACGATGCCTATCCATGCTCTACCTCCTGACTTGTGAACACTCAGAACAGGAGGAGCATACTTCAGTGCATTAATACACAGGCGTTTGTTCAATTGAATTTATAGTCCTATTCTTATTTATTCTCACATTTGTACGTGTGTATGTGTACGATACCGTGTTGTTTTTCTGTCTTCTTTTCACATTCTAGTGGTTCAAAATAAAGAATCCAATCTCATGACTAGTCCCGATAATATACTAGCTGAAACACAAGACTTTTCAGAACCTGCAGATATTAGCCTGGCTATGCTGTGTCATAGAATCAGTCGTCTACAAACTGAAGCTGAGGCTGTTGCTAAAGCCATTTCAGCTAATGGTGGTGGTTCTATAAGAAATAAACAATCAATAAGTATACCCGTATCCAATCAGCAATACACTGGGAATAATAGCGTTGCATACGAAGAACAATCAACCATTACTGATCTTAATACTTTAGTGAGCAGTAGTGACAACAACAACAACAATGGTAATCGAAATAACGAAATATGCAGAAACGACAGTCAAAAGTTATCACAGAAATCTCAGGAACAAACTGGGCATGCTCTCAGGTCAACTAATAAAGAGGGACAATTCCATCAATCAAGTAATAGTCAAGAAAATGTCTGAACAACAGATAAGACAGAGAGTTGTTAGGTGAGTTCCACCAACATGAAGGCTATCATCATCGCATACGAAATGTATGCGATGTATGCACAACATTTCACTTGAAATTTTTCTCCGATTAATCAATTGAATCTGTAAGATGTAATAAATAATAATATAGGTCAATAAAAGGAAACCTATGATTATAATTACCTCAGGTGGCGAGTGTAATAAGCACTTCAGAAGCACTTCTCCATTTCATCCTGTTCTCTGAAGTCGTCTTCAGTCTCTCATCTCCTACTCACGCGATCTCCCTCCTCCCCCTTCATCACACCCTTGGATGCCGAACTCGCCGTTCCCCGTCAAGGTTCTACTCGACCGACTGGTACATAATGTCACTAAACGGCCTCTTCAGTGTGTGCCGATCCATCTCCATTCCCCCCCCAGCCTATTTGCTTTGGCCAAAGGTTCTTGGTTGGCTCGTTCCCAGAGTTTCTTGCTGCTCTATCCTTCCTTTATGGTCATCTGATCATAGACCAGATTTTACAGGTAGGCGAAATGATGCGTTTTACAGACGAACGAACTTGCTCTCACTTTAAAAAGTTGGAGGTAGTTTGTTTGGGACCCAGTAATTTTGAACTTCTGCTTTTTAAGAACCAGTCATGAAGCACTATCCAATAAGATGGACACCACTAACACTCTAAGCTACTTACAAGGAACTTACAGAGGTCCAGTATGCCAGGGGACTGTTCCTTTATGTTTGGACTGACTGAGTTTCGACGTGAAACTTTGCAAAACTGTACGGCAGTTCAATTCAATTTGTCACTTTCCATGTAGCAAACAACAGTAGAGAAAAGAGTAAAAGAGGAGAAATGCACGGGAACAAAAATAGTAACACGGAAAAGCATCAGGATTTAATGCATTTGGGATATTACAAAAAGTGAATAAATCTTCGCTACTGACAATGGTTTCAACCTATGTAACCAACTATCTCTAGTCTCATGTTGCTCATAATCCTGAGGACTCCAAAATAGTCAGACAACATCAAAACCGAGCAAGTTTTATCGACTGAATCAGTACTGAGTAGATCCGAATCACGATGACTGGTAGGATATCACAAATCTTCAAAATTCTTTGAAATGAGTTGAACTTCAAAAGAGATTTCACCAGCTACGTTTAAAGTGTCTGCAGAAACATTTTCAGCTACGTGGCACGTAGATGGTACTGGTGAGAATTCCTCCTTCTCCTCTGATCCAGGGGAAATTGGAGTGAGAATCTCTGTACTTGAGCTTATGATATCTCCTGGTTTTGAACAAATGGTGCCTTCACTAGATTTTGATGTCTTATTGGAATTCAGATTATCCATCTAATTGTCATGGATTCATTAGAAACTAACTGTGCAAATAATCCATTGGAGAGTGGTAGGGAGCTTTGTACTTCTGTGTCTGATTGCATGATAAAAGTTATACTCTCAGTATGTGAATGACTGCAAAGATAGCTAACTAGTTAGCACTTCGATCAGTTTCACATGAAAGTCTTCCTACTGCTTGTGTCTGTCTATTGCAGCAGTGTGCGTCGGTGGCACAGTGGTTAGGACTCTCGTCGATCATGCACATGGTCCGGGGTTCGATCCCCTGCCGACGCACACCCGATATCTATGGTCGGCCTGGAAAATTTGGGCTACCGGTATCCATGCTGAAAATTCCTTAGTTGTACTGAAAATACGGTGTGGCATCAAGCTGTAATCTGAATAAAAATAAATAAATAACTTGCCTTGCTCAAAATTGAAAGTTAAATTGCTCCTTCCAATGTCCTAGTCTTCTATTCTGATAAGTAATTAAAATATCATGCTTCTTGGAGATTGTTTAGTTTATCATTTGTCTTGTACAACCATTTTCCCTACTGAGACCAAATAGTTACCCGATGATACCTACCTCCAATGCCTTTTCCATACCGTTTAACTTTTGTGGCCCACCACTGTCCGCAGTCATGGCGAATACTCGTCAGCTTGCGTATCACCACCTTCACTCCTCGTCAAGTCTTCGGTCCTCTGGAATCCTTCTATCACCCGAAATTAAATGGCAGAGATCCACTGGGATATACTGTCCTCTGTCTCTAGGTCATCGATAGCTTCAATCACTTTTGTGTTTGGTTGTGTTCTGGTCGGATTAATTGAGAGACTTCCGTTGTCCTTCGAGACAATATGTCCGCGCAAGTCAATATGTATTATTATTATTATTGTTTCCTTTAATTTGTAGAGGAACATAGGGCTTCAGCCGTGCATCTCCATTGCGTTCGGTTCTCTGTTAGAATCTTCACCTGGCTCCAAGACTGCCCACACGTTTTCACCTCCTCTTCACATGACCTCCTCCAAGTCTCCCTTGCAGTGACGACCCGTCGGTCGGTTTTCGACATAGAACTTTGCACATATGTGTGGCAGTTCAAGTCGCCACACTCAATGTAGCACACAAAGGAAGAGAAGAATGTAGGAGAAATGCATAATAAAGACAGTAAACAGAGGTGTGAGACAAAGGTATAGTAATAACGAAGAACAAAACAGTTTCATTGGAAATCATAAGTTACAAGGAGTGGATGCATCTGAGCCAGCCATTGAGAACGATTTTGAGCCATGTCACCAATTGTTTCCAACCATTGGTGTTTACCGTCCCGAGGACCCCAACCAGTCAGGAAGTCTACACCTTCCTACGTGGCTTAGACTAACTGTTGTAGATTTCATTGACTGGTGCCATGTTTTTGTTTGACCGCCGCTTGCTCTTTTCCAGCCTGACCTTATATCAGCTAACATTGCCCATTGTCGAGGAAGGCGATGACTAGGCATACGCAACACATGTCCTAACCATCTAATCCAGTCGATGTAATTTCACAGTCTCGTCGAATGATTTCCTCTCCTTCCCTAGTACTCGATGCCTAACCTCAATATTGCTCACCTTATCATACCACTTCACGCGGGAGATAGAACGCAGACACCTATGATCAAAGACAGATAATCTTTTCATGTCTTCCACTCTCAATGGCCAGGTCTCACAGCCATAAAGGAGGACGGAGCGGACTGTTGAGCAGTACACACGCCGTTTGGTTGACAGGTAGCCACGTATCACGTCTACGCCAGAGACGGCGTAAACTGGCATATGCGAAACTAGCCCTCTGTATTCGTGCTGAGATTTCGTCAGAGATCAACCCGTTGGGGCTGATGGTACTTCTCAAATAAGTGAAGCGGTCAACGTGCTCTACCACTTCACTTCCTATTTGTAATCTAGGAGTCGGTGTAGTCCAATCCTGCAGCATCATCTTACATTTTACAGGGGCGAATCCCATGCCAAACATACGAAGATTGTTGCTCAAGGTGTTCAGTAGACTGCATTTTGTCAGCGTCCTCGCCTAGAAGGACTATATCGTCTGTATATTCTAAGTCGACGAGATTATTCCCTGGTAGCAAGTCAATCCCTGAGTCTCTGAAGTGAGTTAGGGTTAAGTCCATTAGTACATCTATGATGAAGTTGAATAGGAATGGGGATAATGGGCATCCTTGATGGACGCCACTAGTCGTCACCACTTCAGATGACAACTCGCCGTAAGCTCTCACCTGGCTGGCTGCATGAGTTCGAGTGGAGTGCCTTGACCAGTGCAATGTATTTTCTCGGCATTCCCTTTACAGCCAAGCATCGCCAGAGAACCTCTCGGTCGACAGAATCGAATGCCGCCTTTAGGTCAAGAAAAATAATGATTGTTGGACGCCGGTAGGAATGCCTATGTTCTAGAATCTGTCGAAGGGTGAAGATATGATCAATACACCCTATTCCTGGCCTAAAACCTGCCTGGTTTTCTCGTGTTTGTGCCTCCCGAGCACCACTTAGTCTACGCAGTATTATTTGAGCCTAGGATTTTAAATACTATATTAGTCAAGCTAATCCCTCTGTGATTATCACAAGAAGACTTGTCTCCCTACTTGTATATCGGGATGATCAGTGACTTACACCAACCCGATGGGACTTCCTCTGATTCCCAGACTCTGCCTAGAACCTCAGTTAATGCAGACAGTAAACTGTCTCCACTGTACGACCAACTCACTGCTTCCCTTTCGGGTTCCACTCGAGGGCTTGTCTATCCATCTCCATTTCTTCCTGCCTATTTGTTTCACAATCGGTTCCTGGTTGATTCCGATCTCCTATCAACAATCTCGGATAACACAACCGAAATAAAAATCATCCAACTCACCTACTATCAGTCTTTACCGCCATTTCTGCAGCTGACTGGATATTATTCATCCAGACTTACTTCAGAATGAGTCTCCCTGTCAAACTCAGATGTACGTGTAACTGTTTCTTCCTTAAATAAAGACTTTGTATTGTTTTCAAGTTCCATACGTAATGGCTTCATCGCAGCCTGTTTTCTATACCTGTTCAGTGGTGGGCATATACATACGTGCACCGACTGGAGAGTAATCGGAGACTACACAGGTGTTCCATTCGCAGTGACAGATTTCGTCCGACCTTCGCCATCGATTGCTTATCGCTACGTGATCTATTTAAATCCATCATCGATTTAATGAGGGAGGTAGACAGGCTAGACAACTTCTCTCTTCACGTTTAAAGTTAGCATTGACCAGGAACAGATTATTATCTCAACAGAATTGTAGAACACGACCACCGCTGTCGGTTCGACAACACAGGACTCCATAGGTCCCGACAGCACACTCTTCTGACCGGTACGACTCTCCAATCTGCTGGGACAACTATGTCTGAGCGTTTTCCTATTCTCAGCGATCTAGACAGCTTTCCACACAGAACTCATCATTTACTTAGTGTGAACTGAAGTCTGTTGGAGAGTAAGTAGAGATGGTGAAATGACACCAACAAGTATCACAATCTTTCCTTCTTCTATTGGATGAGTGCAGCCGGACAGAACACATACGACTACCCACTGGATGGATAGCAGTCAAGCAGGGATTATTCCACCCTAGCACTCAGTGCTATCCCTACACCCGAAAATCCTCGCGAGACAGCTGAATAACTTCTTGACACTCATCAGACGAATTTTGAAGATCCACCATGTGGGGTTGAGTGAGTAACCACACTTCAGCCTTGTGTGTGTGTGTGTGTCTCCGAAACACGACATAGATCCATCCATGCCTCGAGGTGTGAGGATTCTGGTTAGTGGAGTATGTTTGCTGATCTAACAAAGGGTCCGAACATTAATTACTTTAGTATGAAGTTGTCAGCATGGTTTTAAGAGACTGTCAGTAGTGTTTCTCCAGCTCTTGTCGCTGCTTATAGTTGCAGAGTTAAGAGGTGAGGAACTTACCTGTGGAATGACAATAGCAGTGGGAAGAAAGCAAGAGGATGAAGGTGGGTGGTGATCAGGAAAGCAGTGTGTATTTGTTACTTCTCGGCAGCTCTCATTGAGGAAGTTGACTTTTTCTTGCCGTGCCCGAAATAGAGGGGCAACGGTGTTGCGTGGCCGAAGAACCTAGGTTAAAACTGCTTCTGACCGGAAACACACGGCCTGTTTTAAAGTTGTATCCGTGAGTAGGTCTTACCGTCAGAAGGTAAGTCATGATGTACAATTTCTTATGCTGACATTTTTTATCCCACCACTATTCGCGCAGCTTTGATGGTAACAAGTGGCTAACTGGTCATCTGAGAGGAACTCCTTACTGCTATGACATCCACCAGCGGTGCGCTTGGTTACACATTCTTTCTTCTTTCCACCTAAAACAACAGTGCATAGGAGCTCAGTTTCTGCTGACATCAGCAATGTCACAGGATTCTGACAACAGTTCAGGATAAATCTTTGAGTGACGTTTGCACATAACCTCAAGTTCCAATTATGCGGAAAAGAGGAAATTACAGTTTGATGAATTCACCGCGACTACCAATTTTGAATTATTATCATTATTCTTACTCCGAACAGCTTAGACTTCATCCCAGTGTTTACTTGAATGTTTGCTCAGTCAGTTGACAAACGGACCGAGAAATGTTAACCGTATGAAATATGTTATCGAATATATTCTAAACCCTGTTATTTTCCACATTTTTTTTTCTAGGTGAAAATTCATCCCTATCCGAATCCAAACAATGCAAAATATGAGGTTGCTTTTTGTCCCACTGTACTACAAATCCAGAAATCAATAATAAATATCATTATCAGTAATAATCAATACTAGTTTTATAACCCGTAAATGAGACACAAATACATCTTCGTACTTAATTCGAACTACTCCGAAATATATTTCAACCACCATGATGAGCAGTTTCAATGGTGAAACCAAACATCCTTGAATCAAATTGCCAATAATTAATATTATTGCGAGTCTACCCAAAACTAAGTTCTTCTGATCGACCGTAAATTTGGGCTGGACACGATTACGTTAGTCGAGCCTAGTGGTTTATCACAGTCCTCTCAGAACGAATGTGATACGTTCCGAGTTTGGCGAAGGGTGATGATTACTTGAACGTAAACTGAGTAAAAGTATTTGCAATGAACACTGGCAGCAGCTAGTGACGAGAGCGAAAGAAATGCAAGTACCACTTCTAGGTAATACATCCCAAATACTTAGGTTTGTTATTGGGGCTTGAAGCAATACACGTCTGTTCGATGTTCAACACTGACGCGTGGACCAGTCATTCAGCGTGTCAACACCACCTACCCGACCAATAATAATAATGGCTTTATTCCAAACAGTATTTGTGGTACAGGTATGGAATTATCAGCGTTCATTACAATATTGCATCTTATTACCTCATAAATTTTATAAGGATTTAAAAATAAAAAGCAACAACATAAAAAAAGAGAAATAGAAGAAATAAAAAAGAACAGCATTGCACTCGCATATTTAAACAATGCACCACAGGATATGATATATAAAATTAGTCTGTAATAGAATATATGAGCAACAATATAATAGTAACAAAGAAAGTAGAACAAAAGCTAATGAAAAAACTATTTGTTAGAGTGCCACAGTAAGTTGATCGTGTCATGCCTAACATTTTTCTCATCACATTACAGCTGTGCCAGATAAGGTATTGTGGAGTTTTATTCTTGGTAGTCCTGGCATATAGCTTCCTATAGTTGCTTCTAGTTCTACCAGATGAAATGCAAGGAGAGGGTGTTCGGGGTCTGACAATATAGAATTCGCTAGTTTCTTACATGACATTATATGTCTATCCACAATAGTGTTAACCAGTTGGTTTAACGAAATCCCACTCGCCCTACTAACAGCTTTTAGTGCCCTACGCAGCAAAGCAAGGTCTTTCTTAAGTAGTCCAGGAAACATTAATGGGGAGCAGTAAAGAGGGATGGGGCCAGTCGTGTACAGCTATGATCATCTGGAGATGCCTTAATGTCCGCCGCTATAGCATTTTCTCAAAGCTTGAAGCGATTGACTGACCTTGGTGGGCGTGAATAGCAACGATAATGATCTGCATATTTTGAGGCAATTGCGCTGAACACCCTAGATATGATAATACAGGTCAGCTCTTTGATATGCACAGTGCAGTGTGCTTTTGAAGCAAATAACATGTGAAAAGTACAGCCAACAGCTATCTTACTCCCTTAAGGACTACACCTTGGTCCTTCAGACACAGAAATGCGCAAGATGCTGCATATGGCGTGGGGTGACCTCATCGTCAATTATAACGTTAACAGTCAGGACTGTGGAGGCCAGGAAACCGATCAGTTACTAACCGTGACATGTGAAAGAGAGGTGTAGTTACGAGTGAATGGAGTTGATGCTGTCGAAAGTCTGGCGAGATCAACTAAGGTTGGAGGGGGCTTATGCACCAATTAAAGCACTGGCAGCTTTAGTGGCTCAAATTCTTGTCACGCCTTTCATACTACGCATGGAGCAACAGCGAACAGTTCGCCTGCTTCTACCGGAACATTTAACGCCCATCATCGAATACACTACATGGCAATTCAGCGATGACAAAGAACAGAGCCAGCCTAGTGGTCACCGGTCTTCCTAGTCTATACAGGATGAGTTTCCCAGGACCCATGAATACCCAAACAGCCTTATTCAACTCCTTTGTGGTCAGACAACCTTACCCCATTATCATAATCTGTCCCTTATTCACTCACTGACTGACTCCGGTAGTGGTAGGGCGTTTCGAAATTTCTCAGCGCTTCCCTTGTGCACACTCCAGACACCTCGTTAGGGTCCTGAGAATGTTAATCACTTTTACTTGGACAGGCAAGAGTATGCATTATATGTGGGACTTTGAGGTACTTGATTGATGCGAATCACAAACATGCTACACCAGGACATCGAACGCCATCGTTGACCATGAACGTTGTTCATACACACTGATGAATGAATCTAACACTGGCATCACAGTATCGCAAGCTGTCCGAATCTCTGACTTCTACACAACTACGATAACGGCTGGAAATGGGTAATAGTCGACCATCACCCCTGTTACGACAAACACGAAAAGTCTGCTGAAGTGAAAATTTATATTGGACTACAACATCGATGGATTGTCAACATTAGACCACGGGCATTCACATGTTTAGACTGCAATATGCAAGTCGGTAAAAGAATTCACAAATGATGCATCCTTGAGGGAATTCTTACGAAGAAGATACTGAATGCCGCTCAATCTTCGTCGGAAGAGGAGGACTCCGAGGGGCTGGCATTTCCTGGGCGGTGAATCACAGCTGATGTTATCCGTGGCCCTTTGGAACTACCATACCCGCGGACTGGTTCTCCCCTAGCTGGACTGCGATCTCGTCTTTGATCCGACCGATCAAATCTGTCGTTCCTTCCAAAATCACGAGGTCCGCCTCTGTTTCCTGACCCGCCTTGAAAACGATTCACATCTCTTTCTCCTCTCCCGGAATTGTAGTCAAACTGTCTCCCTAAAAACAAGGAAAATTAGATTCAAAGCGCGCCACAAAAACGCGAGGAAACATGGCCAACTGTAAGAGTTATTGAACTTACCCTGCCTGTTACCAAAGTCCCGTTGGCCAAAATCACGTTGGTTATTGTCTCTTTGACTGCCATTCTCACGCTGATTGCTATGGTCCCGATTGTTGAAGTGGCGCTGATTAAAATCTCGTTGGTTACGCTGACCGTGTTCTCTTTGATCACGGTGGTAAGACCTCTGGTTGTTGTTGTTATTATTATTGTTATAACTTGACTGTTGGCTGCTTTCCTGATCTGTAATAAACATCATCACATACAATGTGTCTGAGCAGGCTATTACCTCTTTGAATACGTCCACGAACAGGTCTTCCCCCCATCATTTTATTACCACAAGAGGTGAGAGCAGCGCTGCACTGTTCTGAGTTTGAAAATGTCACATGAGCAACACTACAAGTAATTAGACTTAAAACAGAATTACCCTCTTGAACGCCCTTGTTCGTCGAGTGAGAGTGCAACTCGTAATGCCTCCGGAAACTCACGCATAATATCCCTTTCTGATGCAGAATACGGGAGATTCGATACAGTAAGCGTACAGGAAGTACTGGACGGACCGTCACCATCAGCCCCATTATTGTCATAGGTTTGGTGACCGTAATCATTCTCTGAGTATGGACGTCTGAAATCCCTGGAATGTCCTCCATACTGTTGGCTAGTGTATAAGTTTTCTGACGAACTGTAGCGACGTTCTGGAAAAGTAAGGGGCATACGAAATAATCACCGAATCACTTGTAATTTGAGCCTGGTGGTTATCAACACTGAAAGGACCGACTTACCCCCGTTGAATTCTGCATGCAACAGCTGACCGTCGATTTCCTTGCCTTGAAGACATTCATCGTAGGCTTGTTGACAATCACGAGCATTGTTGAATTGCAAGATGCACATGCTGTTTCATATATGAAACAGAAAAAGAGAGCAAATAGGGAGCGGATTGGATCGTAAGTAATAAATGCATGTCGTTCTATGGGAAGCGAATAAGCTTTACAATAAGACCCCGTAGGCAGATCTTTCGAATAACTCGGATTATTCCCGTCAGTAGAGTCCGGGTTCCCCTTTCCGCATTTCACTCCCCCTGCAAATGGTACCACCTGCTCATATTACACGAGTGGGTCAATATGGCACACCTATGTCACCGGTAACAAAAGGTAGAAAGGTAAAAGATCGAAGTCAGTTCTTAGAAATGTACTAACTGAACATCATTAAAATATCGAGGTTCACCACTGGACAGTTAACTTGCCAAACAAAAGCAACGGGTACGAACTTCGCTGAACCTACTGCTCGCAAAATGGAGTGAAACGGACACGAGCTGCTTTCGGGCTTAGCACACAAACAACGAATCATGATATACGGCTATTTTGACTCACCCTTTCGACTGTGGAGGCACTGAATGACTGCGTACGATGCTCACTGACTTAGCTGAGGGAAATATCGACTGGACTTCCGTCTCATCGGCTGAGCAGGGTAGATTGTATACAGCCAATGAGGTAGCCTGATTGGATTGGTATGCTTGTGAAACGGACATATTTTCGGTCTAAAACGGAAACCTCGTTTAGCAACTGAAAGCCATTTATAAGGAAAAAACCAACTCATTTACGGAAATTTATTTGCAATTCAGATATACAAGATATTTGTTCATTTGTTTTTGTTATGACTGCCCTGTTTGGGCCAGCCTCCTCTATTACCGCCCCGACCACGCGGGGATTGACCACCATGACCACGGAAAGACTGACCACCCCGACCACGCGGGGACTGACCACCATGACCACGGAAAGACTGATCCCCGCGACCACGTTGTGAATTATTCTTTAAGTTGCCACCGAATTTATGACTGCCTCTGAAATTAGCCCCACCTCCAGGGCGATTGTTCATCTTCTGGACCTCACCAAATGGCTTCTTGTGGGGTGTATTTTGCGGTTTCTTATTCTTCTGGTCATTGGGTGACGCCATGTGAGTATCTTCTTCACTCTCATCGTCATCATCATCATCGTCATCCTCCTCGTCTTCATCTTCATCGTCGTCGTCATCGTCATCATCATCTTCCTCGTCCTCCTCCTCATCTTCTTCCTCTTCCTCGCTGTCTTCTTCGTCACCTTCATCATCATCATCCTCGTCCTCTTCAACTTCCTCTTCATCAGCATCACTAGTTTCTTTCGCCTTCAGAGCCTTGTTAACTTTGAGTTTCAACTTGTCTTCCTCACTGGTTTCCTCGGCAGCTGTAACGAGTAACAAGAAACATTGTATAGTTACCAAGGGAAATAGCTAGCAACTGTCTGTAGAAAATTGAATGGGAACTAACCTTTGGTCTTTTTAGCAGGGGGTTCACTTTTTCGTGCGGAATTGACGTTTTCAACTTTTTTCTGGGAGGCGTCATCGACGAATACGGCTGAAACGAAAAAACGTTGAGTTATAACTTGTTCGACAAAACGTCAACAAGATTTAGAGAGCACTCAGTATGGGCCACAAACTGACCGATTCGAAAGCGTGAGGAGACAGGTCACCTGTCACCAAACGTACCTTTGGGGAACATCACCAGCCGTTGTCCCTTTAAAGTCACATGTGAAGAAATTGCTTTGGAGCAGTCGGCGGCTGTTTTAAACTCAACGGTGACGGCCCTGAAACAAATGAAATGCACACTGAGTTATGAGGAGCTAGGCAAGTGACAATGAAGTTGTTTGTTATTCAAGAAACTTATTCAGTCTTGAAAAGAACTCAACAGGCACACCGAAACAAACAAAAGCAAAGAGCAGCATAGGACTTACGGACAGAGATCCTTAGGAGACCTGGCACTGCGTGACAGCGAAACCACACCAGCGAATAGACTTTCGATTTCCGAATCCGGTACAGTGGCTGGTACACGTAAAATTAGAGCCGTTTTCAGCTCTGGTCCACCTAAAAGTCCAAGTGACAGTTTTTTGCCATTAAGGAATTTAGGTTCTGAGATGGCAGCCCGTCTGACTTCCAGTGAGGGGAACTTGACAAACGCTTTCCTGGATTGAGTGAAAAACAGAAGAATCATTCGATCAGTTAACTTCCCAACAGGGCAAAACCAATTAACTGTGAGAATTTCACGTCAAACAAATGGTGTAAGACCCTCGGGTGGCCTCATTCGGTCCGAGAAAAGAATAGAAACCAGCGCTACTCACTTTCTCTCGCGATCATGTGTGACATCGATGCAAGTTGGGAATAACTGGCGTAAACGATCAGGATGAGCAGTGAAGTAGGGAATCACGATTGTTGGGCTGAGATCAAAGCTTTTTTCTAAAAAACGTGTTGGTTACATGATAGACAAGTTCTGCACTTACGAGCCACATGGTCAGTAAAGGAAACCCTCATTGACCGATCTCCTAGCTTCAAAGATCGGAGCACCTCACAGGCCTTTATGGCGGCTTCGACAGAGGGGAATGCCAAAACTGCGTTGTTGAAATGTGGATTCCTAGTAATCAATTTGAAGTCGACAGGGTGACAGTTCTCAGGAAGATGATCTCTAAGTTGATCCTGTAGGTGGTAGAGAAACTTAGAAAAAGTCAGAACTTACAATAGTTGTGGATTTAGGGATCCCACTAATATACAGACTGTCAGTTATCCTCGCATCGCCTGATTGGTTCACAGGTATTATCTCGAGCGGTTTTCCCTGGAACGTTAACTTCTCTGACTGTAGGCGGCTCTTCAGGATGTTCAAGTTTGCCACCGTAGCCAGTACAGGGGCGGGCTCCATTTTGCGTATGTCGGTAACGGTAGTTATCTTTGAAAGAAACTCTCTCAAACTATCCAAGTTATCAGGTCCGTTCACTATTATCACAGATCCTGACAGGCCACTCTCTACTTTTGTCTCTGTAGCCGCCTTTTTCGGTGGGGCAGCAGGGACACTCGGAGTCAATTTTCCACCCTTTTGTTGGGGAGTTAGTTTTTGAGGAGCATTCTTCGAACCAGCACTTTTGGCTCCCACAGCAATCTGGGTTGTCTCGTCATCTTCCTCCCCTTCCTCACTGTCTTCGTCATCTTCATCGTCCTCCTCCTCATCATCATCATCCTCGTCATCGTCCTCTTCCTCATCATCATCATCGTCGTCGCTGTCATCTTCTTCATCGTCGTCCTCATCAACGTCAACATCTTCATCGTCTTCCTCCTCGTCACTTTCAACGTCATCCTCTTCTGGATCCAGTGACCTGTCATCGACAAGTTTCAGCTTCTATGAAGTCAACCAAAAAGGAAAGATTGTGGGAAGTACCCATTAGCACATTGGAAAGAAAAGAACACGAAGTTCAGAGAGCTGTACAGTTGAATTTAAACACGTAAATTTACATAGATACAATCATTTGGCTCCACATAATTACGGGGGCTAAGAAAAGGTGACAACTTTCAACTTGAATTGGTTTTCGAGACTTAGAAACAAAAGGGAAAGCATTAGACTGTTCAGTAACGCGTCTTGTTTGTCTGGAAGTATCCCATGCTAGTGCGAGTTAGCTGCTCACATATTTCGGTCGTACCAACTTGATAGAATTTCGGGAACGTCTCTTCACCTTTAAGCATAAACACCCACACGCAGCAATCCAAGCTAATGAAGTGGAGAAATTGAACACACCGTACTTCGGTGGGACCTATATAATGCTACAAAGTTCGCCTCCTACTCCCATCTAGTCCCAAACCGGCACTACACACCCCTAACAAGCCGGTGACCCAAGTGCTCACTGCTTTTCAGCAAGGATCTCAGCCTAGAAGAAGCAAAATCAACTCTCCATGACCGTTGTCAAAACAGGGTTCGGTCGATGTTTTACAACCAGGGGTCATGTGTACACTGTTTTCATCAATTAAGGTATCCTACTTAATGTGCTATAAATACTGTTCATATCAGTTGGATGAAAGCGTCCAGTCTCAACTCGTGCTAGTCATTTCGTTGGTCCTGAACGATAAGTTAGTGACTGTTCGGATTACTTGAGACTAATCACCCCTTATTGTGAGCACACTCTTCGGACTAGGCGCACGGTCTATTACTTAGAGAAGAACAAGATAGCCAGTGTCATCTTATGGTCACGTGCACGTCACTGGCCAGTGAAGCTACACAAGCTACAGGCAAATCAATATGCGACAGTTTTAGAATATATCGCATTTGTCCTAACATGCAAAAATTTTCTGTCACTTACTTTGTTTGATGCTTTCAAACTGGCAATGCGATCATCCGGCATGACAGTTTCGACATCTGATTCACTTTCCTCGCTACCGACCGGGACTGGTCGCTTGGATCCGGGTCTCATTGGCGTTGTTTTGCCGTTCATAGGGCTCTTGATCTTAGATTCGGGAGTCGTTCCAGGTTTCGGAGACTTAACTGCAGAATTATTCACTAAAATGCAGACAATATCTTAAGCAACTTTGAAAAAAGGACACGACGGGCAGAAAAAGAAGACGAGCACTCACGCGATTGTTTTGAACGACCCTGAAAGATGAACAATATGTTAGTCAATAAAGGTGAAAACCAGAATTCACGTTATTAAATAATCTGAGTTAGCACAAGGAACCACTCACCATGTTTCACTGTGCACCGGACGTTGAATGAGGAACAACCGCTTAAACACGCCAAGAGATGGACTCGCCTGTTGAACATTAAACAATAAGTTCAACCGGTTCAATAATTAATGGAATGTTTCAAAATGAATCTTTCTAGGCCGAGATTTGTCTGAAGACTAGCGAAAACTTTAATATATTATAAAGTGGAAAGATGAAAGTCATAGCACTTGCAGAAAGGATGACAACGAATGGATATGAGAGCAGTGAACACCACGGTTTCATTAACTTTCACGCTTCGTTCGGATTAATACCCGAAAAGAGAGTTCCCATAGCACTGTTCAAATGCCTGATGATCTCGAACTCAGGCTGTAAGTGAAGTGTGCTCCCGGACCTTCATGTAACAATAATGTGAATGCATAAACGGCCTTCACAGATATAACATTCCGAGTAGCAATTATTTTTCCCCCTCTCATGTCGTACAGTCCATACCTTTGGATCATCTCCTCTTAAGATTCCTGATAACAATGGAAATCATTGGGCATCAGAAATAGTAGTGGGGAGTTCAAAATCCAGCTCGAAACCAACTGCTGTTACGATGAATTCAGAATGATAAGTATCGTCTTATTCTTATTTATTTTCACATTTGTGTGTGTATACGATATAGTGTGGTTTTTCTGTCTTCTTTACACATTCTACTGGTTCAAAATAAAGAATCCAATCTCATGATTAGTCCCGATAATATACTAGCTGAAACACAAGACTTTTCAGAACCTGCAGATATTAGCCTGGCTATGCTGTGTCATAGAATCAGTCGTCTACAAACTGAAGCTGAGGCGGTTGCTAAAGCGATTTCAGCTAATGGTGGTTCTATAAGAAATAAACAATCAATAAGTATACCCGTATCCAATCAGCAATACACTGGGAATAATAGCGTTGCATACGAAGAACAATCAACCATTACTGATCTTAATACTTTAGTGAGCAGTAGTGACAACAACAACAACAATGGTAATCGAAATAACGAAATATGCAGAAACGACAGTCAACAGTTATCACAGAAATCTCAGGAACAAACTGGGCATGCTCTCAGGTCAACTAATAAAGAGGGACAATTCCATCAATCAAGTAATAGTCAAGAAAATGTCTGAACAACAGATAAGACAGACAGTTGTTAGGTGAGTTCCACCAACATGAAGGCTATCATCATCGCATACGAAATGTATGCGATGTATGCACAACATTTCACTTTAAATTTTTCTCTGATTAATCAATTGAACCTGTAAGATGTAATAGATAATAATATAGGTCAATAAAAGGAAACCTATGATTATAATCACCTCAGGTGGCGAGTGTAATAAGCACTTCAGAAGCACTTCTCCTACTCACGCGATCTCCCTCCTCCCCCTTCATCACACCCTTGGATGCCGAACTCGCCGTTCCCGGTCCCCTCAGCCTATTTGTTTTGGCCAAAGGTTCTCGGTTGGCTCGTTCCCAGAGTGACTTGCTGCTATATCCTTCCTTTATGGTCATCTGATCACAGACCAGATTTTACAGGTAGGCGAAATGATGCGTTTTACAGACGAACGAACTTGCTCTCACTTTACAAAGTTGGAGGTAGTTTGTTTGGGACCCAGTAATTTTGAACTTCTGCTTTTTAAGAACCAGTCATGAAGCACTATCCAATAAGATGGACACCACTAACACTCTAAGCTAGATCGATTGCAGTGTACCCTAAGTCCCTCAGATAGTTTCAAGGAACTCACAGAGGTCCAGTATGCCAGGGAACTGTTCCTTTATGTTTGGACTGACTGAGTTTCGACGTGAAACTTTGCAAAAATGTACAGCAGTTCAATTCAATTTGTCACTTTCCATGTAGCGAACAACAGTAGAGAAAAGAGTAAAAGAGCAGAAATGCACGGGAACAAAAATAGTAACACGGAAAAGCATCAGGATTTAATGCATTTGGGATATTACAAAAAGTGAATAAATCTTCGCTACTGACAATGGTTTCAACCTATGTAACCAACTATCTCTAGTCTCATGTTGCTCATAATCCTGAGGACTCCAAAATAGTCAGACAACATCAAAACCGAGCAAGTTTTATCGACTGAATCAGTACTGAGTAGATCCGAATCACGATGACTGGTAGGATATCACAAATCTTCAAAATTCTTTGAAATGAGTTGAACTTCAAAAGAGATTTCACCAGCTACGTTTAAAGTGTCTGCAGAAACATTTTCAGCTACGTGGCACGTAGATGGTACTGGTGAGAATTCCTCCTTCTCCTCTGATCCAGGGGAAATTGGAGTGAGAATCTCTGTACTTGAGCTTATGATATCTCCTGGTTTTGAACAAATGGTGCCTTCACTAGATTTTGATGTCTTATTGGAATTCAGATTATCCATCTAATTGTCATGGATTCATTAGAAACCAACTGTGCAAATAATCCATTGGAGAGTGGTAGGGAGCTTTGTACTTCTGTGTCTGATTGCATGATAAAAGTTATACTCTCAGTATGTGAATGACTGCAAAGATAGCTAACTAGTTAGCACTTCGATCAGTTTCACATGAAAGTCTTCCTACTGCTTGTGTGTCTGTCTATTGCAGCAGTGTGCGTCGGTGGCACAGTGGTTAGGACTCTCGCCGGTCATGCACATGGTCCGGGGTTCGATCCCCTGCCGACGCACACCCGATATCTATGGTCGGCCTGGAAAATTTGGGCTACCGGTATCCATGCTGAAAATTCCTTAGTTGTACTGAAAATACGGTGTGGCATCAAGCTGTAATCTGAATAAAAATAAATAAATAACTTGCCTTGCTCAAAAGTGAAAGTTAAATTGCTCCTTCCAATGTCCTAATCTTCTATTCTGATAAGTAATTAAAATATCATGCTTCTTGGAGATTGTTTAGTTTATCATTTGTCTTTTGCAACCATTTTCCCTACTGAGACCAAATAGTTACCTGGTGATACCTACCTCCAATGCCTTTTCCATACCGTTTAACTTTTGTGGCCCACCACTGTCCGCAGTCATGGTGAATACTCGTCAGCTTGCGTATCACCACCTTCACTCCTCGTCAAGTCTTCGGTCCTCTGGAATCCTTCTATCACCCGAAACATAGAACTTTGCACAGTGGTGCAGCAGGAGTTCCAGTTGTCCCACTCCATGAAACACATGAAGGCAGAAAAGCAGGATTGAAAAGGAGTGTAATAAGCCGAAAATTGAGGGATAATGAATAGTAACACGGAAAAACAACTAGGGTCTAATTAATATGGATTTGAATGCTGACTACAAGACACTGAAAAAAAGAGTGCCAGAGAAGACAGAAGAAAGTATGATGAAGCCATGGCAAGTGAAGTAGAACAAGCTGCTGTGAAAGGAGTCCTCGTATCACTCTAACAAACAACTAGGTACCTATCGGGAAAAAGTTTGACACAAATTATGCCATTGAAGGATGACAATTGAAAGTCACTCACCAAAAAAGCGAAGCAAAGGAAACACTGGGCTGAACACTTCAAAAGACTACAACGCGACCAACAATACCAACAACAGAGACAGAGCTACCAGGAAACACCAACCCCGGACGAAATCAGAATTCCTGAAGGCAATCAAGGTGCTAAAAGCTGGAAAAGTAGCAGGACCAGATCGAATTCTCAGCAGAAGCATTGAAAATGGACCCAGAGACAACACCGAACTTGATGACGCCACTACTGGAGAAGGTGTGGAAAGAAGGCAAAGTGCCCGAGGATTGGAAGAAGGGATACCTACTCAAGCTGCCAAAGAAAGGAGACTTAAGTCAATGCAAGAACTGGCGCAGACTTATGCTCCTGTCCATCCCAAGCAAAATACTGAGCCGCATCATCCTAGAGAATCAAACATGCCCTAGATGAAAAACTTCGACCGAAACAGGCTGGATTCAGGAGAAAAAAGTCATGTATTCATCAGATCACCACGTTACGGATCATCATTGAAGAAAGCTTGGAATAGCAGTCACCTCTCTATCTCAACTTAATCGACTTTGAAAAGGCCTTCGATAGCTTTGGCAGCTACTTTGCTACTACGGGTTGCCACCGACAACTGCTGTACGACAATGCTGCATGCCAAGTAATCCACAACAGGAAACTTACGGAATCCTTCGAAGTGAGGACAGGAGTAAGACAAGGCTGCCTACCTACTATCGCCAATGATTTTTCTGATTGCAGTAGATTGGATAATGTGACAAACAGCGGGCAATCAGGAAACAGGCATAAAATGGACTCACACAAAATACTTGGAGGATCTGGACTTCGCCGATGATATATGTCTGATTTCCCACAAACTGGAAGATATGCAAGCGAAAAGCAACAAGTTGGCAGAAGAAGCATCCAGAGAAGATAGGACTTCAGGTAAACATAGAGAAAACAGAGGTGATGAAGATTCCTGGCCAACACCACCAACAGCAACAACAACAACAGACAACAATCAGCATAAATGGAAGGAACCTGAAAGAAACAACCTCTTTTACCTGCCTGGGATGCATCATTTCAACTAAAGGCGGAACTGACGAGGATATCAAAGCGAGAATCGGAAAAGTAAGACAAGCTTCCATTACTCGCAAGTCTGTTTGGAAGTCAACAGCACTGTTCAGCATGAAAAATAAGATCCGGATTTTCAACTCCAATGTGAATTCAGTGCTACCCACCATACGGATCAGAGACTTGCACTGCTCGTCATAAAGAGCATCTCAAACAAACTACAGACCTTCATTAACAGTTGTCCTCGCTCAATACCATTCAAGATCAGATGGCCGGCCAGAAAAGATCAGCAATAGAGGTCTCTGGGAGCGAACCAACCTAGCAGGGACCGATTGTGAAACAAATAGGCAGGAAGAAATGGAGATGGATTGGCCATACTCTGAGGAAACCATCGAGTGACATCACTAGACAAGCCATTGCTCGAGTGGAACCCGAAAGGGAAGCGGCGAGTTGGTCCACAGTGTGAGGGTGACTTGGAGGAGGTCATGTGAAGAGGAGATGAAAATGTGTGGGCAAACTTGGAGCCAGGTGAGGACTCTAGCAGAGAACCGAACGCAATGGAGATGCACGGCTGAAGCCCTATGTTCCTCTAGGAATTAAAGGAAACAATAATATGAATAATTTTAATGACAACATGGTTTCTCTAAATGGTTTTACATTATTTTTACAATATCGACTATGCTCTAGAAAGAAGAGATGCAGGTGTTGCATCTTTTATTCATTCTCAGTGGTCAACTTCAAGTCATGTATGTTTTCCTTTCTCTAGTGACTTTGTTGATTGTATAACAGTCAAATTTCGTCCAAAACACTTATCCAAGTTTAAATATGTCTTCATCTAAAACATTTATTTCACTCGTGGCTGTTCCAACTCTAATCTATCTGATTTTGCCGATGAATTCACAGCATTCACTGTTACACATCTTGAAAACTCTTTATCAGTTGTCACAAGAGATTTCAATACCTGCGATTGTTCGCTTCTTGAATCATTAGGTCATGTCAATATTGTTAAATTTCCAACTCGACTTGATAAAACACTTGATCTAGTATTTACTAGTGATGCGGAAATATATGAAGCACGCAGACGTGCTTCTATAATGAACTCTGATCATTGTATTATTCGGATATTACCCAAGATATATAGCAGATATCACTCTAATATCCTCTCAAATCTCTCCAGAAAAACACAACAAAGATGTAACTCACAAGAAAATGTGCTCAAACTAAGAAGTATGTTAAATGAAACAAACTGGGAACTTTTCACTGAACACACGCTGGATGATACTATTTCCAATCTGACTGACTATCTTAAATTCTGTCTTGATGTATGCTGTCCAAAACAGGTACTTTTCAAGAGAATGAACCGTTTCTCTTCCCCTCATCTCAAAAAGCTCCGAGGAGAAAAAGAGAGACTGTACAAGACTAAGGATAAAGCTGGTCTTAGGAGGATAAACATCCAAATAAAATCCGAAATCAAGAGGCCAAACAATATTTATAATCAAAGAATTTTGTCATGTAAAACTCCTGGGAACATGTGGAAGCTTTTCAGAGAAATTACAGGTTGTGGTAAGCATAGTACTTGTGCCCCCTCTATTGATGTAATTACTCTTAATAGATCTTTTATCCGCCCTCCTAATG